GGGGGGGGGGAGTGAGTGGGGGGTGATCGGTAGAAGAATTTAGTTGGAATGGCGGTCAGTTTCAGCAACAGTGTCAGTGTCCTGGAATGCAAGTTCCTTGTCACTGTGTTTGAAGGGGGGGGGGGGGTCAGTGGCCTGAATCTCTCCGACTCCTCACCAGCAGATTCCTCACTCTAACGGCAAAAACAACTGCTTCCTCAGATACTGAGGTGGCCCCTGTTTGTTTGCTTTGCTGGCGCTCGTAAAGTGGACAGAGATTGCATGAATGAGGGTCCATGGCAGGGCCCGCTGACAGGGTAACAATGGAGCAGGAACAATGGCCAGACTCGCGGCCGTCTGTTCTTATGGAACAGCCTCCCGCCTGCGACTTGTGATGTAATGAGATTTCACCAAGAGGAAGTGGCAGTCCTTCCCTCTCCTGTTTGTGTCTGATCATTGGGATAGCTTTAACGGTCCTGCTGATGTCATCCCTTGCACAGAATTCCCCTCCGATTTCCTGTTTGTCCTGTTTTTGTATATTTCTCGCTTTCCTTCATTGTCTCTTTCCAGCCGTCAGACTGGAAACATTTGTCCTTCCCCTTGAGGTGACAAAATCACTCATGCCAGTCTGCCTTCTTTCATTTTCTGTTTTGTGTCCTTTTGAATTGTTCTTTTTTACACTGTGTAAATGTTGCTCTCTGCCTTGCAGGGTCAGGCTCGACAAAGGAAGAACATGACTGAGTTCCTGGGAGAAACGAATATTCCTACCCCGGATGCTGTGGGACAGACTGGTGGCTCTCTGTCCGGCATCGGGGCCGGTCCCGACAGCTGGAAGAACCGCGCTGCCAGTCGCTTCAGTGGCTTCTTCAGCTCCAATGCTGGAATGGGGCCCTTCGGCAAGGTAACACTGATCAGACAGAGCCGATCACATGAAATAGTGCAGCAGCGCATCAGTCTTCTTTCTCTTGGCTGTAAAACAGAAATTGTAAAAGCTGTGAGGGACAAGCTTGTTTCCCAGACATGTCTCAGAAAAAAACAAACATTAAAAAGCAAACAAAACAGTAGCAAGCAGCAGTGGGAGGGGGTCGGAAGGCCATATCCCCCAAGATCTGGTGAGGTAATTTCCCATCGAAGTCTCGTGTTGTTGGCTCACGTACTTTCCTCTGGAAATGAGTAGGTGGAGGAAAAGCCTTACTCAATTCTATCCAATGCTGACCCATAAAAAAGGCTTAAAGGTATAGTTTCACTTTTTAGAAGTTAGATTGATACTTCTCTCGTCCTGCCAGAAGTCGGCTAACTTAGCTTAGCATAAAGACTGGAAACGGGTACAAACAGTTAGCCTGCTTCAACCAAAATGATTAACTTTCATTCTAATAAAGCACACTCGCCCACACACGTTCCCATTGTCTCCCCCCTCCCGAGGTCACATCCTGCACACAGTAGCAGATGTCATATAGAGACAGTATCTGTCAGTCACCTGTCACTGCCTGTCTCATCTCTATTCACCCCGAGCGTCCCCCATAACCCCTTCAGGGCCAGAGATCCCTCACCAGGACCTGGACCTCTTGCACTTTCCATATTGTAGGGATGAACCGCTGTCGGTGCCTCCTTTCACAAAACGATGAAAAGAAACGCGGATCTCTGATCACTTTACTCCTAAATCTGCAGTGCAATTTCTCACTATTAATCAACATAGAACAGGACTTTTTAACCTGTGTTTCATGGTCCATCATCCCCCTCCATGTTGTAGCTTTTTCCCCCACTCCCTACTCCTCTATTGTTGAAAATGGTCTCAATGCACAGAGCTCATTTTCATAACTACATAAGGCCTGCCAGGCTGAACAATGGGCTGAATAGCGGCTACTGTTGGATTTAAGAATTAAGGCGCGAGTAAGGACCGGATTTATATGCTAATTTTTGGACTCCTCTCTACTTACAGTTTGAACGTAACAATAAACTGACACACAAAGGACAGAAATGGACAGTTAATTTTGCATCTCTTCTCGCTGTCATGCTGGTAACCTAGTTTTTTTAAAATTCATTACAGGAGGCGGATCGTCTGGAGCAGCTCCAGAGTAAGCTCCACTCCTACATGTTGTTCGGGCTGCCCAAGGTGCCCCGGCAGCTCTCCTTCCACCAGGACTCCTGGGAGGAGGAGACCAACCTGTCCCTGGAGGACAGCTGGCAGATGTTACTGGACAACTCCGAGGTACAGCACACACAGGCCGGGGGGGGTAAAACACAGACTGTAAACTAAACTCAAATGAACACTTGTGGGGGGGAAACAATTAATTATTATATTTTGAAGACTTGCTCTTTTATTGTGAAACTTCCCCTTTCAATACGTTAGACATAATGTTTGTAAATCAAAATATATCTGTCCGTCTATCTATTATTATAATATCCTTGGTACAACCTGATTCACCATTAATAACTAAAAGATGCAAAGACGATGGTAGACCCAAACTTTAACATTTAGCTTTATCATGTTAGTTAATCATTTATATTTTTTTACAAGTGACAATTGAAATAAAACATAAATCTGTCAGCTGATTACTACAAGCATACTGGCATGCTGCTTCCTGGTATGCATCTGACTCTTACTTCCTTCATCGTGTTACTTTGTCACGATTGCACTGCTGACAGGACCAATGTAAACGATAACACCGAACGCCTCCAACTGTTAAATGTGTACGTGACTGATCAGGACAGCGAGACCGAGCGATATCACTGCTTAGCTCCTACACAGTGCCCCGTGCTGTATGTGCACTCACCCCTGTGAGATAATCACATGTGCCACTTTGCAGACTTGATTGCTTGATGTTGGCCAGCAATCAAGTTGGTAATGTGAGTAACTGGGAAATATAGGAACAAGTAATTCTCATGTTTGAGAGCATGAATGAATGAGTGAATGGTTTTATTTACGCAACACATCCCTCACACACAAGTATAAACATAATACAGCCATTTAAAAAAGCATAACCCAAACAAAACAGAAGTTACATTTATCCTTCAGTTCATGTCAGTTAAATTGCATTGTGTGTCTGAGCTGGATTTTATACAACATGAATAACTTAATATGTAAGTAAGCAAAGACATGTTCACAGAAGTATTCTACTGTATATCCATCCTCAAATCCAATTGAAATGTAAATCTGGAACATTTTTAAAACAATGTTTGTCAAAACATCATGACATAAATGACAGCAGAGACTAAAATGAGTTTTGTTCACCGTTCTGTATCTTCCAGTTTAAAATGTAGTGACAAATATACCATGTGACCACGTGTGCACAGAGGGTTCTCTTACTTTCAGGTATATGATATTTATCATATTGTTCACATTCTGAAACATACAATAACTTTGCAATTGTGGCCTTTTGTATGCGTATATGATGAGATATTCCGACCATTAGCACAGCGGGTGGCAGACATACTTCACTTGTAACGCTGTTGTAAATCTCACTGCATCCACAGTATTTACTATAGACAGGGTCACACATTTTGGTAGATGGGGTTTTGGTGTCAATTTCTGACTTAGTATGTGAAAAAGACCAAAATGTGTGACACTCTCTTAATACAATGGAGGAAATAATAGGACGAATCTGTGACTGTATTTGTTATATTTAATAAAATGATCTGCGTTTGTGTGTGCAGGCATTGACAAGGCGACAGTTCCACCAGCAGGAGGCGATATGGGAGCTGCTTCACACAGAGGCAACCTACATAAAAAAACTACGAGTCATCACTGATGTAAGTGAACTACTGTGAAGTTCATGTGCTGATACAAGTCTGGCTGTTGTGTAAGATGAACTGGCTTCTGTACAGAGATAGATAGACGCACAATGAATGTCTTGTTAAGGTCTAAGATTATACACTAGCCTTTATCACTACTCAGTAAGTGATAGTGATAACCTTTGGCTTTAAAGGCTTTATGTCAGCATTGTGTCTTAGAACACATTAGAAACTCATTTTCTTTTGTATCACCCTCTGCAGCTCTTCCTGAGCGGGCTGCTGAACCTGCAGGAGAGCGGTCTGCTGACGGAGGTGGACCCCGCCAAGCTGTTCAGTAACATCCAGGAGCTTGTCTGCCTCCACACGTCCCTGTGGAATCAGGTCATGCTGCCAGTCCTGACGAAGGCCAGGCAGGCCCGGGCTCTGCTAGACCCCACTGACCTTCACCACGGCTTCAGGACGGTCAGTTGCAATCACATTGTAATCCAATATTTCACACAGGTACCACAAAGAAAAGGGTCATCAAGAAACCATGAACTTGTGGACTTTACTACAAAGCACTTCGTAGTTTGTGGCTAATAAGTCATTTGACGCTTGTCTTTGTTTGTCTGCGTGTGTCCAGTTTGGCTCCAGGTTCCAGCCCTACATCCGTTACTGCATGGAGGAGGAGGGCTGCATGGAGAACATGCGCACGCTTCTCAGGGACAATGAGCTCTTCAGGACCTACGTCACGGTCAGTCCTCTCTGCTCTCTCGCCTCAAAAGCTAATCCCAGATACTGTGCAGCACATTTACTGTCTTCACATTTCTGGCCCATTAAATGTTTGATTTCCTGTGTTTGTCCGGCTCTCTTCAGTGGGCAGAGACCCATAAGCAGTGCAACCGTCTGAAGCTGACTGACATGTTGGCGAAGCCTCACCAGAGACTGACCAAATATCCACTCCTACTGAAGAGAGTCCTCAAGAAGACGGACGAGCCGTCGGCCCGGGACATCGTTAACAGCATGGTGAGGACAGTGCTGGAATGTAACTACGTACATTTATTCAAGTACTGTACTTATGTACACATTCTGAGGTACTTGTACTTGACTATTTCTACATTGCAACTACAACAGTAAAATCCTGCTTTTACACTAAACCATGAGTAATAATAATCTAATGATATAATAGTATAACAGTCACAGGGGACATTTTTCTACATTGAGTACTTTTACTTTTAAAGTACATTTTCCTGATTATACTTTCATACTTTTACCTCATTCAAATTTTAAATGCAGGACATAGGAACAGTATTTTTACAGTATTGTACAGTGTTCCTCCACCATTCTGTATACACATTTATAATACATGGTGCTTTGGTAGTTTACACTGATAGAACATGTCTGAGTGTATCTCTGCGTTTTTCCCTCCTCAAGGTGGCTGCTGTAGAGGGCTTCATCAACAGTGTGGAGTCCCAGATGCGACAGCGTCAGGAACAACAGAAGCTGGCCACCATTTCTGCCCGTATAGACTCCTACGACGCTGTAGAGGGCAGCAGTGAAGAGGTGGAGAAGGTAAGAAACGATTTATGGGGGAGGGGGCTCCGGTGCTCTCCCACATCTTCAAAAAAAAGCTCTGTCAGATGTGAAACCTATTGTAAGATTCAGCTTCATACTTTTTGTCTTTTCCCCGTCAGATCCTGAAGGAGTACAACCGCTTCGACCTCATGGCTCCCATGAGAGGGATTTCACCGGAGGAGACTCGACAGCTGCATCTTGAGGGAGCTCTGAGGATGAAAGAGGGCAAAGACAGTCGGGTAAGACTGAGCTCTTCCTATCTTTTATGCTCAACTGGTTTCTCACTTTTGCTGAACAGTCGCCTCATATTTCACATAAAATGTTTGACTTATTAGAACAGAAAGAAATGAGTTTCTATCCGACCTGAGACGAGTTTATCTCCTGTGTAGATGGAAGTCTATTGTGTCCTGTTCACCGACCTGCTGCTGATTACCAAGCCAGGGAAAAGAGTGGAGAAAATCAAAATCATCCGCCAGCCTCTCCTCATTCACAATGTCGTCTGTAAGGAACTCAAAGACCCTGGTGAGTGCTCAGACGAAGATTGGGATGTAACTAATAATCCTTTCATAATTTAGACTCTTTTTTTTTTTTTGTTTTTTTGACACATTTGAAAAAAGATATTAACAAATTTGTCAGTCGAAAACAGTTATTCAATTTATACTATGAAACAAGTCAAATCTTTACATTTGAGAAGTTATAACCAGCAAATATTTAAGATTTCTGTGTGTCTGCTGACCAATTGGATCAATGGATTAATGGTGTCAGTGTAAAGCTGTAATATAAAGCTGAACTGAAGCTTAATAATGTAGAACTCGGAGATCACCAGTGGTAAAAGAAGAATTAAGATCATTTATTTAAGTAAAAGTAGTATCAGCAAAATGTTCCCCGTGAGTGATGTTTCTGGATTGGTATTGCTGCTGCAATAATGTGTATGTTGCATTTTACTGGTGTAAATGCACTTAGTTTCATTCCACCACTGGAGACCACTGATGGTTATGATTATTAACTGCAGACATGAAACTGGGAAATTAGCTGTAACTCTTTTTTTCCAGACAATGCTGATTTCTTTTGTGTGCTTTTTGTCTCTGTAGGCTCATTCATCCTCATCTACCTCAATGAGTTCAAGAGTGCAGTGGCAGCCTACACTTTCCAAGCCAACAGCGCCGCCCAGGGGCGAAGCTGGATCGATGCAATCTGCAATGTCCAGGTTGGAGAGCCAGTTCATATATTCAATTGGGAAATAAGATCCAGAGACACAATGTTGTGGTTTTTGCATACCTAATGTTTAACCTGTTTGATTACCCTGCAGAACCAGCTCCAGAGGCTTCGCACTGAGGAGGTCCTCCGGCAGCAGAACAGTATGAAGAGATGTACACCGGGTGAGGAAGAAGATGAGGAGGAAGATGAGAGCAGCAACTCAAGTTCACCATGCCTCAGGCACAAAGACCAGCAGAACTCAAGGTACAGTTTTCACCTCAACACATTTTCCTGACAAAGTTATTGGAATCATGTCAAAAAAAGACTGTTATCCATGTTGGTCATTTATCGCTTTCAGTGCATTGGGTCTTAACTATCCACTAAACCAACCAAAAACTTTCCTTTCAGTCAATCAGATGGTTCCACTGAGACCCTGTCGGTGATGGACATTGATGAACCAGGCGAACACCAAGAGCTTCCTTCCCCAAACATGAACCTCCAGGGAACTAGTAAAAAAGACTCTGAAGTGGCTCTCCTGTCTGAGGTCCTGCAGTCACAGTCCAAGAGCCCCCACAGAGTTCACTCCAGTGTTTATTCTGAGCACGATCAGGAGACGGGGCCTGGCGGCGAAGAGCTGGACCCTCTGTGTCGTTCTCTGTCCATGGACAGCGCCTATGGCACCCTCTCCCCTGAATCCCTCATGAGAGAACTTCCGCCCCAGCCCGGCCAAAGTGAAGGAGAGGAGGAAGAGGGATACCGGGAGGTCGAGGAGGCGGAGCAGGAATTGACAGTATTCAAGGAGGTAGAAGAAGAGCAGCTGCAGGAGGAGGAGGAAGAAGAGGAAGAGGAGGATTCTGCCTCACTGGGGTCCCAGCTGTCAGTAGTCCAGTCCTGTAAACCTCGCCGGCGGCTTCATGTTCAGTCACGACTCCACTGCCTCCAGAAGCTTTCCACTCTGGCCTTATCCCGCTCTGAGGACAATCTGCTGCAGCACCTCTATGGTAAAACCCCCGTATCCCACACACACTCACACAGCTCCAAGGCGCAGGACCAATCACAACGTAGGGACATGGACACTTCAACGCTGGCACACAGTAAAAGCCTGACGGAGTTAGGCCAAACCTGCTTGGGGCTGTTTTTCAGTGGCCTTGACCAGTCTGACGACTGCTTGGGCACGAGCACGCCCTCTGACAAACTCTGTGCCACCCTGAGGAGGGTGGAGGCCAAGCGCGGCCGCTCGGCGCCCAACGGACAGCGCGAGGGTGATGAGTCCCAAAGCAACGGCTCAGACGGGGAAACGGCTCCGTCTGCCTGCGTAGAAAGTAAAAAGGAGTCGACAGCCACCGGTGAGTCGGGGGAGATGTCACCGAAAAAGAAAAAATCTCCGCCCCAGCAGCACAAGAAGCTGACTCTAGCTCAGCTGTATAGGATACGCACCACTCTGGTCCTCAACTCTACACTCACTGCATCGTAAGTCCTTACTTCAGTAATACCAGTTTATAGATTGATATCACTCTAATGTCTGTACGGTAGCGATGAAGCAACCAGCAGTTCTAGTTAGCTTAGCAAGAAAGTAAATAGTATTTACCAAAATGTTTGAAGACAATTTAGTTCTAGATTCATCATTTTCTTACTGTTGGGAATATGTGTCTGAATTTCGTTTTTTGTCTTTTCTATTTCTAGGGAAGTATAACCACTTTCCCCACACAGCTGACCTCTGGCACGTGGGCATAATGAGGAACAAGACTTGTTTTGCTTCGATGGACTGAATTTCTTGCGACACAAATGCACTCTCTCTTTTGCTGCCCTCTCCCTTCTGGTTGTTTTTTGGACACTTTGATAGGACCATTTTTTTCATGAGAACAGTTTTTCTTTGCTGTTGCATTGATTTTCCAAACTTCTTGAGTGGAAGGGGAGAGGCCGAGAGACATTAACTGCTTTGCACTTTGCAACGGAAGTAGCATTATAGGGGCTGGGGACGTTAAAGTGGACTTGGGGGGGGGAGTGTGCACCAGAGTAGAGTTGGAGCTGAATCCCGCATCCTCGCAGTCTCCGTTGCCAGAATCAAAGAGAAGAAACACTAAGTCTTGAAAATGCTCTCTATACGTGGCTAAAAACAAACAGCACCTAGGACGTCCTCCTAATATTTATACTACTCCTGGTTTGCTTTAACAAAAGAAAAAAAAATTCAAATTGCACAGTTATATATATATGTTAAGTAGAAGAATCACTAAAGAGTGAATTTACAATTACAGTCACACAATGAATTAGAATTTATTGTTTGCTGTCCGTGTTTGTTCGTGTACAGATGTATGTATGTGTGCGAGAATGTTTGAATGATTATCTTGTGTTTGAACGATAACATGGTCCTCGATTCCTGACTGAACAATAACTGATTCCTCATCTCCTCTGTGAATATGCTAACACACCCAAAGATGGAAGTAGCCAGTAGATTCCCACCAACCAAAAAGGTCCAATACAGCCAATCATGTTTCAACAGATCTCTCAGATGGAATTCTTTTTTTTTTTTTTTTTTACTGTTAATCTCTGTTAAACTAATGTCATTTGGTATGTTGAACTAATGAGAGTTGAGTTCCCGAAAAAAACACTTTGACTGAATAAGCACAAGCAAGAATGTGGTCGTAGGAAAAACACAAAAAGATATCTACACTTGACTAATGCCTGTGCACACTAATAAGTACACATGTTTGGGTTGGATATTCTGTCATGAGTGAATTGGATGAACACAGCTTTTCCCGGGAGATTTACTCATCATTCACACTTTTCAGATCAGTGATTTATAACCTTTTTCCAAACGTTGCCCAAATCAAATAGGTTAACTCTGTTTACTTTTAGGTTTTTTTTTTGTTATTAATGTGTAATATTTATTTTGCTTGCTATGTTTTATATATAAGATATTGTTTATATTGTTTGCTTAAATGATTTGTACATTTGTTTTGTTGATGTAGTCTTAATATTTTTTTCTTGCCAGGCACGATTGTGCTATGAACCAAAATTGTGTTTTCCTCTTTCAGGAATAATGTTCGTGTCTTACAGAGTAAAAAAAATGCTAAAATACTTTATCCCTCGTTTAATGGTTTAATCCATTGTAATGGAGTGATTTGAGGGGGAAAGCTGAATCTGAAATGGCATTAAGCATTAAAACTACATGAACTGGTCGTACTGCTTTCGTCTCATGTTTGTAACACACGGCATAGTTGGTCGTCCGTTTAAGTGTGTCGACAAAAAGGCATAAAAAGGGAAAAATAGTCTGTTGAAAAAAAGTCGTAGTATAATCTGTGAAAATATGGTATTTCGAAAAAAAAAGTTGTATAGTATGTCGAAAAAGTCAAAATATGGTATTTTAAAAAAACGTCATAAATTCATGGAATAATATGTTGAAAAAAAGGCATAAAATGTCAAAATATATCTTGAAAAAACATAAAAAGTCATCGTATAGTACATCAAAAACCTCACGAATGAAGTGAGTTGTAAGCTGGTTTTGAACTCAGGCCACTGAAACTTTTAATTTCATCAATTGGCAAAGTCTCAAACTGGTGAGCTAATTCAGAATTCCAAAGATTTTGTATGTTGAATCGAACTCCTCGTAACATATACATCATACTGTCAATAACCCTCAAACTCCAACATTTCCATCAAAAATATCCATCATATAGATCAATCAATCAATCAAACTACATACAAAAGTGCATAGGACTACCAATGCCTTACAAAGAGACGGCTGTACCAATGTCTCCACAGCTGGGACTGGTAGCGTGTGTAGTACTAAACCTTATGTTTGATAAAACCAAGATGATTTCATTTTTTCCGAGTGGTGTACAATATGCTCTAGAGTCTAGACGGAGACATCTTCACTCCATCTGTACACATACCAAACCTGCGTGAGAGAATGTTTGCTTGTGCATTCATCCATTGCCTATAAATATCATCAGTCATCTGTTCTTTAATAAAATTACCAAGATATTTGACCTTATCACAGACACCAACATTGTTATCAGACAATTTGAAGTCAGGGAATTTTGGACATTTGTCCTCTTTGGTTCTACAGATCAAGATAGCACTCTTACTGGCGTTGTATTTGCTATCACGCTCCACACCATAGACAGTACTTCTAGTAAGGAGCTGCTGAAGTATAGACTTGGGTTTGAACTAAAGTGTTTTTAACGTAGTAAAATGATTTCGGGCTACTCTGAGTTAAACGGCTTTCATCTGCGCAGTTTAGTTTCTGGGAACTCAGTCAGATCACATCTGTTCCGGCTGTCTGTCTGGTCCGAGAGTCCGCCTCTGGTTCCCAGAAAGTTCAAATCTGACCCGTCTCCATAACAAAGTGTCCAACACACATGTGGGACGTGATGCAGGGCAGAGCGGGGGCCTGATGGCCCGCAGCAACATCATGGCCAAGGTGTATTTACAGGTGATTATATCAGCTAATCGGTGGATTACAGCATGTTGAGTCCACACAAGCCCCTAAACTGCGGAGAAAAGAGAGTGCGGTCCTGTGGGATTTTCAGTTTAATCTGCTCCCAGAATGGGGCGACCCCTCCCGCTCTCACATCTGGCCCGTCGGGATTTACTGTTGTAATCCTTGATTTTAAAACAATTTTATTATGCTTTATCGCTGATACGCTGGACTTTAATTATTAAAATGCAGCTTTCTATTTTAGCAATAGAGTAATTACACATCCTTGTTCTATTAGCCTTTACTAAGTAAGTAATGCGGCTGTGCCACAGTCGGCTGTAGTCGCATGGCGGCTAAAGGCCGGCTGCAATGCCATCGATTATTTCCAGGTACGTGAGGTTTTTGCTATACCTGGTGCATTTAAACCAAGCTACAGCTTTAAGCTTTAAAGTAATTCTCCAAGATTGTCATTTTGGAGAAACAGAGATAGTTGACCTTTAAGAATATATAAAGTGCAACTTTCCCTTCTTGTTTACGTATGTTAACTGGGCACTTCTCTGCATGATGTCTGGTGGAAACGTACACTGCATACAGATGGGGTTAGCACCACCTGCTGTGGCAGATGTCAAAAACCATGCTGTAAAAAATGTACGATTAACACAAAAGGGGCACTTTGGCAAATCCTGATTATAGGAGCACTTTCATTTATTAAACTCTGCCAATCCCCTGTACTCTTTTTGACCGGGGATTAAAACCAGGTAGACACCATTGTCTATCTAAACAATCCCTCTTTAAGCTCTAGCGGTTTCCTGGTGCCCTGGCCAGGCCCGGCTGGCTGGTTGCCTGCCTGTAATCTCAGTAGGGGTTTATAGGTCGCTACAACCACTACACATTCCCATTCATCAACATCATCCCCTTTAGAGGGGCTATAGGTGATTGGATTTAGGACATGTTTTACAGGGGCAGAAAAAAAAGAGGACAGCGAACTAAAGTGTGTTTACAAGAGCGGTGCTGTGAAAAGGCCCATGGACGAGCGACATGCCATATGGAATGGATAACCCTGTGAACATCTGCCCTCGATCAGTACCACACACTGCCATTAGACTGGTGGCTTTGACCTTCACATGGTGCACAAGAACATCTGGCCCTTTTCTGTCCTCATTGACCCCTAAAAACAGCATTAAGCAGACAAGTAGACACAGAAAAAATCCATTTGGGATACGTAAAGCTCTCCGTGCAACACAGAGCTGACTGAGAGTCAGTGTTACAGTTTTCAACTCGTATCCTCTTTTCAATCTCTTCTTAAAACTCACTTCATAAGGCTTTTTCTTAACCGATGGTGTTTTTTTTGTAATTATCTAAATTAGTTTTGTTTTTAACACATAACATGAATGAACAATCTTTATATGGATCCCTTATTTTCTTAAACAATTGTGAGTAAAGTATACTGGACATTTAACAGAAAGAAGATGAACTTGTCAGAGCTCTCTGGTGGACAGACTTTGTAGTGGAAACACTGGTCTCAGATCTAGTTTAGCATTTCTGTATTTTCTTGTTACATATCGTCCGACGTATACAGCCATTTTATCTGCGATAAGCTAATATCGACCTGGCTGATTTATTAGTGTAACATACTGAACTGGCTATTTAAGGTTTAAAGCATCACCTCAGGTTAGTGCACTATTTCTACATCTTCCAGTGATGTAAATTAACTAATTACATTTACTGCTATATTAACTATAATGCACATACTTTACCATTTTCTATTACTTTATACTTCAAGGGAATATTGTACTTTTTACTCCAGTACACGTATTTGACAGGAGTAATGATTAGTTACTTTTCAGGATAGAATTTATTGTTTTTAAAAATATTTTTTAAGATAATGATAAGCTTACAAAATACAACACATTGTTAAAGATAGTACCAGTGGTTCAGAACTTCAGAAAGTTTTGTCACACTTCAGATGTCTATGAGTTGATCAACCTCTAAATGTCTCTAAATGTTTGAGGCTCAAATTGGTAAAAGTGTCCGCTGTTTCGCAAAACAGTCAAAGATAAGAGAAAAGTTCAAAAAGGACTCCAGGTCTACCAGCTACATTAGTAAAACAATCTAATGATCAGTCGCAATTTTCTGCAGAATGAGTACTTTCAGTTTTAATACTTGAGGTACATGTAGCTGATAATCCTTCTGTGCTTTTATTCAAGAAGGATGTAACATGCAGGACTTTAACTTGCAATGGAGAATGTTTGGTAAATACTTTTACTTGAGTAAAATATCTGACTACTTTTTCCACCCCAGGTCTGTTTGGATGCCTTGACGCTATTGAATAATGGCTGCTTCCTCTGCTTGTCTCCCCCCCCCTCCCCTCCCCCCTCACAGTAGCAGCAAGGTGATAATGTATTGCCAGCTGCTCTCTGGCATAAATTCATTTCACAAAGACGTGGCATATGTTAGAGGATCAAATGTCTTTATCCTGGTAAAGGTTGTGTTGTTTTCTAAATTAAAGGAGCATAAGGTCCCACTTTCACATGACAATATAAACTCCTCACCTCAATAATTGTATCAGCTTATAAGAAGCTTACTGTAATTACAATATTGTCTTTTTAGAGCAGCAGCCTAAAACATGAAATACAAATCACCCATTTCAAAATTAAATGGAAGCTCGTTCAAAGAGAAGATATACTAGAGGAGGACAGAGGGTTTAACGTGTAAGTCCAGCACATTTAATATTTACAGCACAATCACGCAATTAATCTGACAATGTGTTGTGTGTCTAATACCTGAACTGACTGGCCCTCCACCATTATCGCGGGTGCGCACAGGGAGTGGAGAAGCAGGGAGCGGGAGTCCAAATGCATGGTGGCCCTGAGAGCTCAACGCACTGCAAAATAAGAAAACACATGCAAATAGACACACCACAAGCAAATTAGGAAACTTCTCCACCGAACCAAAGCACTTATTGATGCCGTTTGTGGATTATGATGTCATAAAAGATGGCTATCAGTTATTTAGCTTCATAAACCACAAACTATGGCAACAACAAGCATGTCCCAGCAGCGAGCATCGCTTTTGTGTCCCCTGTAATCAGTTTTCTTTCGTGAGCTTCTCTAATTGGAGTGCTTTTTCCAAAAGCTGCGTATAGATTCTGTTTTTGTGTTTCAAGTTGGTGTAGATGTTTCTTAATTTGCTTGTGTTGTCTCTATTTGCATATGTTATTTTAATTTTGCAGCGTGTTGAGCTCTCAGAGCAACTTTGCCAATTGCAACTCATCATGCAAAGTTAAATATCTGTACTTTAACTAATTGCCTAACTGTGATAATCCAAAAGTCTAAAATAGAAAAGAAGACCAAAAAATGGGGCCATGTGCCAAACCCTTCCCTAAATGTTTGCAATTTAGTTATTACTACATAACAAGGAGAACTTGCAAAGAATGCTTTTTAGTTGTGAGACACATGAAAGATATAACAAAGTCCAGTTAAAGTCCAGGGCTGTGGTCGAATAGTGCTTAGGAATGAAATGACCCAGAAGTATCTAAGTAGCCGCCATGATAAGAGATGTTCGAATTCTCTAAATGCTAAGGAAAGGTGATTCAATGCTGCCTTTATTACCTCCTTTAGCATAGGAAACACTGGACCTTCTTTTACGGAAAGTAGATAATTCCGCCCCACAATTCCTTGCGGCAGCAACATTTAAAGTGACGTAGTATGGTAATCTCCCAAGAAGGTGTAAATGCACTGCAATTGTTGGATGAGGCCATGTTAAACAGAGTTGAAACACAAACAGGTTATGCATCAAGGCTGCTCCAAGGTCTGTCTTTGAGTCTCTGACTTATATACCGAGGATAACACACAAGTGCGTTGGAACAGACTGATTTGCATAAAGTCTGGACATCATTTGGATCCGTTTCTTTGATAATTCGTTCTGTCAAGGGTCATCTTATCCTAATCTCGGAAGACGCCATGGTTGCAAATCAGCCTACGTATATACTGACGTGAACACAGATTTACTATCGACCCTTGACGCCCGGTCACAAGTAAACAAACAGATGAGATAGCCATTAAGAAAGACAACTAAGACACTCAATGAAGAACACCGCTGAGAAAGCTTGTGTGAAGATTGGTTCATACAAGGACACAGCCTTTATGGAGCCAGCTGCTTAGATTACAGTGGCTAAACAAAAACATTAGTTAACCTTTAATATCATCTTATCTTTCATTCATGATGATACAGTAAATAAACAAACTCCACCTTCACCAGCTGCAACATTACAAGTAAAATACACATGAATGCATCACTAATTATACCCCATTAATAAATTGGTCCTACACAACATTCAGAAATGGACCATTCTGCATAACGAGTACTTTCACTTTAAGTATATTTTGATGCTAGTACTTTTGTACCTTCACCTTCCCCATTCACCTTTCTGAATGCAGCGCTTTTACTTGTAACAGAGTATTTCTACACCGTGTTAATAGAGTTTTACTGTGGTATTAACACTTTTACTTCAGTAAAATATGTGATTACTTGCTCCCCCACTGAATACAGTTTGAGTAGAAAACTATATTAACAGATATTCTTTTTAAGAACTACATGCAAATGAGACGTATATTACCATAGCAGTAATATAGTACAAGGTAATAAGGCTGAGGTTGAAGTGTGTAAAATAAGATGCTGGGGGTCTTTAAAGGGTTAACAGGAGGAGGCGCAGCAGCGGGCAGCTGGTCTGGGTGGAGTGAAGTTTAGATGCGTAACGTTAACAAATTAGCCAAGAGGACTGCGTTATGGCTGTGTGAAAAGTAGCCTTCCAAGAGAACCAAAGACACCGTTTCTGCAGAAACTCGTCCAGGTCGCTACAGAGAACAACACTGAGCTGAGATGAGTGATGTGAGTGAAGAGTCGCTGCTGGATTACTTCTACTCCGCCGGAGGCAGCTCCGGCAGAGTCAAAAACGCAGACATACTGAAGACATTTAAGCCCTTTATTGGCCACGGTGACTTGCAGTTACGTGGTAAGTAGCGAGTCGTTGTCTCGTGGATTCAGATAGATGTGAATATTAACCCAAAAAATGGGTGGGGGTGGGGGTGGGATGTGGTGCAGTCGCGCGGCATCAGTTACTACTCGGTACTGTGAGATGGCACGAATATTAATTGACCCCAGCTCTCATATTACTCGGAGCATGAATGTATTTAAACGCAGCATTTCAGTCAGCGTTGATAAAAACGGGGTTTTATGTCCTTTCGTTGTTCCTCTGTTGTTCAGCAGACATCTGGTTGGCATTAAGAAGCCCCTCCAAACATCTACAGTTCCAGCAAGAATTGTGTCATTTCCTCCCCCAGGCCACTTTGAGCTGCCTGGTAACTGAACACATGGACCTGATCCATCCGACCCATCACCAAAGAGCACAGTGTCACATGAAGGCCCTCGTGGCTCCTCAGACACAGCTGTGGTCCATGAGCACAAAAAGAAAAATGAGGCATAAACTCACTTTTTTCCCCCCACGATTGCAGAGATTAGCTGAGTACTCCTATATTTACTGTGTGGCTCTCTGCTGTTCCCCTCCGCCCACCTACTGTACAGATGCTTATGCAACCGTTATGAATCATTGCTAAACACCAAAATTCCTCTCATATTTGGCTTCTTTAAGACAAATGCTTTTGGCATAGGTGTTTACACCTGGCTCTATTACGGCCCTGTAATAAATCCCGGCCATTGCCTCACTATTTGACTTTAAAAAGAAGCAATAACACAAATCTTCCTGCTACAAATGAGTTGCACTCAGGAGTTTTTGCAGTTGCAGACGTACTTCGTATTTGTCGTCCTTGTTTTTAAGCTGTGTGTCTGTTTCTGTGCACATAGTCAGCCAATAACGCTGATTCTGATATGTCCAGTTACTTCACTTAGAGCTGTAATGAATAGTCAAGTAATCAATAAGTTGATGGACAGACCATCAATTGGCAGCTGTTTTGTTAGACTATTTATTGTTCCATTCATTTTTAAAGCATTCATTCATTTAATGGTTACAGGTTCTCAACTATGAGAATTTGATGCTTCTTTTGTTTTTACAGTACATTAAATTCGGGGTTTTTTGGACTGTGGGTCGAACAAAACAAGACATTGGGATGGACATTTTCGCCCTTCTGATATTGTATACACCAGATTTAACTAATCAATGAGAGAATCATCAGAATAATCTAAAATAATCTTAATTTGCAACGCTAATGTTAGAAAACTTTAGATACACATTGCTGTGTAACTAAGCCGGTTTGCTAACTTTTCTCCACTTGTGTTACTGTCCCACTACCATTAGAAAATGATTTATCTACAGAAGTAAAACAAAAAGTAAACACATCGTACTAAGGATGCACCGAAACTCATGTTTGATAACGGGCCGATACTGACTTAAATAGCTGGATCGGATATCGGGTGACAATGGAGCTGATCTATACAATTACATTCCATGTATATATATATATATATATATATATATATACTGGAACTTTATTTTCGCTTTAGGTTTTGGCCAATTGGTAGCTGCATTGAAACGTCACCAGAAGAAGCTGTTGGTCACGCCAGACCAAGGCAAGGCTGTGGCAGCGTGCATCAGCTGAGCAACATTGTATTTTACTGCTTATATAAATTCAACTCTTTCATTTGTGTTCCCTCTCAAAATGCAGGACTGTTGTACAAACATGAGTTCCCACTGCAACCCTTAAAAGACAAAGCACACATCACTGACTAATGTCAGATAGCTTTTGGCCCAGAAGACAAATAATGAGCTTGTGATGATTCTCAACTGTACTTTTACCTTTGGCACCGCCTGACATGCAAACATATGCCAACCTCCCTAAATGATTATCCAAAGTGACCTTGCGTAGCCGTTGCGAGCGCTGTCCAGATGCTATGTCAGCACTGCAGTTGTTCACAGAGGTTTAGAGAGCTGCCTTTGATACTCTGCCATCTGACATGTCTGTCTAATTACAGAAGTGCTTCCCAGACATTTGAAGTCTGTCGTAGCGTGTGGTTGCAGATGTCGACGTCGTTATTGTGACGATAGTGTTTTAATCATGATTAAGTCCGCATGCATGACAGGATGTAGAACCTCTAATGGGGTTGCTTTTTCATCCGATCGGAAAACTGGGGCACGGTGGGAATGTAGCGGGGTTGGGAGGGGGTGCGCGCACACATGTGTGTGTGCGTGTGTGTGTGTGAGGTGCTTGTTTGTGCAGACCTTTGGCTAATAAATAACTGGCACGCATATTATGTTACTCACTTTTGGCGAGCAAGGAATTCTTTTGTTGGGACAAATGTAAGTGGCTGCTTCCTTTGGATTTCCTGTTGTTGTTGAGCGAGAGCGGTTGCATCTATCTCACTACAAACTGCTCTTTTCCGTCCACATCAGGAAAAGGAAACACTCCAATTGTCCCCGAGCTGCATGCCCATGTACACCTATATGCATGAATGGAATACCTACGCCTGGAAAATTCCTTCGCTTGTGTTGCTCGACATGGGCTGCTTGATAATCAGCACAGTCGGCTCTTAATCACAGTCTGCTCACCGGTTTAAACAAAGGGAGATATAGCTTTATCTGATGATGTCTATATCAGCTTGTCAGCTCTATAGTTTGTTTAGTTCCCACAGGAAAGATTCACTGGAGGACTAAAGTAACTCAGTGTGACGCAGTGTGGATCTTTGCTGCAGGGGAACCTCTTTCCTCTCTAGCTTGGCTTGCAGTGTTTTCATTGAAGCAGCTGTTCCTTTGCAGTGTGAGCTGCATGTAGCTGGGTCAGCCCGACGTATACTGGAGGAGCAACCCTCCTTTCTCATTACTCTCACACAAATCAGCAAGCCATCCTGCAGACTGTAGCTCACCGACCAAACGTCTACTGTAAACAGACACCCTTACATTCTGGTTGTTTCTGGGAATACTTAGTGTTTTATAGTAAATCAAACTGAATTCAAGCTCTTTTCATTCCTTCCTATTTCTGGCAGAGTCGGTGCAATTTCTTTTCGCCCCCCATTTGACATTTGTTGGAGTTTGTGTTTTACTAAATGCGAGAAATTAGAAGCTATATTTAGTTCTCCGTTTTTTTCACGACAAATATTTCCCCCCTGCAGCTAAACACAGAGAGGAATTCAAGCTCATCATTGACCGAATCGCTGTGGTGAAGTCAGAGAATGTGAGTAAACCATTCAAATATTTTTTACCTTCTGTGGAAGAAGCTCTGCTCCCATGTATTGATACGTCAGCAGTGTGGCATTAGCTGGAATACGTATCACTGCCATTAAAGGTTGTTGTTCTCGCGAAACTATCATGACTTCACAAGGAGTTTTTACAGAACCGTTTGTACCCACTGCTTTCCCCCAAGGGACTGCAGCTGCAGCTTTCATTTTCTTAGAAACTATTTTTATGACGCATTTTCACATACTGACAAATTTAAATCAACAGTTTGTTCCACTGAAGCCCAGAACTAGTTTAAGCACATTTTATGTTCCGAGTAAATAACATGACTTATTAATTGGATTTAAAAGGGAATTAGAAATATGATGTACAGCAGTATCTTTATTTTTTTCCACAAAAACAGTTAAATTACCTAAGAATGCATAAAATCACATCTGTTCCTTCCCTTTCATTACAAAAAACAGAATCTCTGAATATCGTTCCATTTCCAAAGTTTACCTACAAGAAACACATAAAAACACACAGTACAACCCACATGACTGTGTTTTGTTCCCCTTCTTTTTAAAGGCATATTCTGCTTATTGACTCTTGTTTGTCACAGGGTGAGAAGTATCTGGTCCTGAAGAAGAAATATAGGCAAATGCTGCATGAGCGAGATGCCAAACATCAGTGGACGGACGGGGACGGACAGAGACGTTCGAGCCCAGGCAGAGCTCCTCCGGCCTCTGTACAATGGGACGCGACGGGCACCTCCACTTCTTCACCTCAACAACAGTATGAGCCGATGTCATGTGAAGAGCCCGACGGTGCTGCAGAGGTGAATTTAAATCCTGATCGCTAGTCTATTCTTTTCTATTTGTAGAAACTAAAACTGTGGGACAAGCTGGTATGATTCAACCACAACTCTGGGTGCTAAAATACAAAATTGCTGAATCTGCTATCACCCCCAGCACACAGTGTTTACTCTCTATGTGAATGACGCATTTATTTCTAAACAGGGCCATCTTTGTTAGTGTCCTCTGCCTTTTCCCTATTCTCTACATGTCAGTGTTTAATGAGGGTTTACACAGAGAAGTACTGTGGGACAGAAAAATGCTCTGTTACTGAGGCACATCTAAGTTAGCCTATATGAGAACAAAGGGAAAGTCAAAGGGCTTATGTCTTTACATAAAAGGCAGAGCCTTTTGAAACTAATGCATGGAAGCACTTGACTGTTGTGAAAATAAACACTATGTGCCAGTTTAATGCACAATAATCCTCTGGAAGTACTTTTTACATATTGTTCCTTCAATAAACTTGAGCATTTAATCATAGATTTGAAAGATTAAATGTATTTTATGCTGCCGGTTTAATGTTCCGGCACATTATTTGCTCAAACAGGCACTAAAATAAACATTATTTATCGACACGCTGATGGTGCAGGGAGGGCGGAAGAAAGGAGCAAGCAAAGTGCCAACGCTGTCCGTTAACCTCAGCCAGCACTTGCCACGGCTAAATGTTTATAGCACGTAATGTCTATACTCCTGCAGGACCAGCAGACAGGAACAGCCTTCATGCAGAACGCTCTACTGCAACTTCCTGCCATCCCAACCCAGGAACCCTCGGCGCAAAGCTACGGGGACGATGAGCCGGACAAAGATTCGGGGTCAAAGGTGACAATTTGGCCGATTGAGAGGCAGTGTGCCACTCGCTTGCCCATTTTGCACACTGTTAATTATGTGCACTGCCACACTTACAGTGTCAGTGACTGTAGGTGTGCGTGCTGTGTTTCATTTCTCAAGCTGCATCACATCTTTCCTGGCCAAACGAGGCTGCAAAAAAAGGCAGAAATATGATGTGGAGCTGAAAAACGATTAGTCAAATAAAGGCTTTGTTAATCATCATTTTGCCCATGTCGGTTTATAGTAATCGCAGCCGTCGTAGTACAGTACAGATATGAGACAGCAGGTAGGCCCCTTATTTGTCACATAAAATCATAGCATAGCTGTGTTTGTGACTTGTGTGTCATTTTTTTTATTCAAACCTTTATGGGTCTGGAAATAATGACCTTTTAGTATAGCTATACGCTCACTAGTTTGCACCTTTTTGATTTAAAGTTTTCATTATTAAAATTTAAATTGAAACATTGTTTTATTACATTTGACTGTAAATGCTCAGAGGAAGGACACAACTTGCCAAATTCAGTACAGTATATCATTTCACTGAGTTCTAGGTCACTTTGGTGGTTCCTCTGTTACCCACCAGGTGGTGCTAAGTAAATTACCTGGATTTGTAACCGACTGCAGTATGTGTTGAATTTGAGTGAGAGGAGGACGCAACGGGGAGAATCTGCATTTAAATTAAGCCCTCTGTTATTATGGTAAGCAGCGACATGTTGAAAGTCATTAGAAGGAGAATAATCATCTGTGCCCATTAAAGAGATTGAGATTCATCCCAGAGAAAGATATGTGTGGCTCTCCCTGATGGCCTGCACAATCGGCAGATGAAATATGCTGAAGTGTGTTAATATAGCACCAGCAATCAGCTTAAGTGTGTTTGCTTAAGGTATTAGTCACAACATTGAACTCTGTATTTGGGACACCCAGTGTGTTGACAGTTGTTCCCACATTGAGAAGCTACCTGGCTGGTTTCGCACACTATTCTTAATCACAACACCTGAGGCTGCAAGCTTTGCTCCTATTCATAATATCGCACTCCCAAATGCAGGATGATGCTCTGCGGCAGATGAACCCCGGTTCCTTTAACGTTTGGTTTTAATGAGGAGGAGAGCAGCGTCCCTGTCCTTGTATTAGTTTGTATTGTGATCAGTGAAAGACAAGAGCAGCTGTGGGCAGTTTGATTTATAATGAATTCAAATTAGAGCCCCGACATATCTTTATTGGGATATATGTACAAATAAATTGCAGTGCATGAATGCCAAAGATATTTAAGGAAGTTTTGAGATGGTTGTCTCAATTTCATAATGTAGTTTGTCCTCCAGAAGGAGAACAGGAGTCTATTATTGGACTGAAACATGTCTAAAACAATTTAGGGGTCATGTAGAAGGAAAAAAAAAGAATTTTCTAGCTGTTGCATTTGTAAAACACACGGGGGGGGGGGGGGGAGACAGAAAGGTACACATGGTAGATCACGTTGCTGTTAAACCTGTTACCATGAGGATCCAATGTAACTGACATGAATTCAAGCTACAGCTACAGTTCCCTGCGAAGGACGGACAAAACTTTCCTTTCAGCCGGTGGGAGCAGTTTGACATTCATGGTTTTGAGGGAAATGTCTTTTAATGGATTATCATGAGGTTTCAGACACACATTCTTTAACCTTTAATAACCATCAGGACAAAAACAAGTGTTCAATTTATTTACAAATTGCTCCAAGATTATGACCAAATTCTTGTAAAACTGATGACATTCCCATCTGAAGTGCAAGTATTAGAATGCTTACACACTGAAACTAAGATGGTGAACAGTACCTGGTAAACGTCTGTATTTTAGCATTGTTAGCATGCTAATGTTTAGCTCAGTACAGCCTCACAGCTGCACTCTTCTTTAAAATCGTACAACATTAACTTGACCTAATTATGCGTGGTGTGTTGTGAATCCCCAGTATGAAATTTCATTATTGACTTAGTGGTCAGCTGATGCCCGCCTGCACTTTGAAAACTCTCGTCAAATTAGTTTTGTTTTTTTAAGTACAATTTAATTTCAATCGATTTCTACTCCACAGGCTCCACAATGTCCAAGACAAAACAACCAGGGCTGTAGCGATTAGTCGGTTAAGGATAGATAATTGATTAATGATGCCATTTATATTTTAAGAAAAAAATGCCAAACATTTGTTGATTCTAGTTTCTCTGTTTTAGGTTATTGTACATTAAAGTTTTTAACTGTCTGACAAAACCTTGTAGAGATCACCTTGAGCTACGGAAAATTGTGATGCGTCTTTTCTAATCATTCAAAGACCAGACGAATAATTGAAGAAACATCTGAAATTAGAGTATTTGAGCTCGTGTAACCCCTCAGTCGTTCCCTTCATGCCCAACGATGTTTTTAGTTATTTTTAATGGTCTCCACCAAAAGGGAAAAAAAGGACGCGCCAGAGTGGAATAGGCTGGAAAAATACAATCCCTCCACTTTTCATGTTCAGTACACTGACGTGTGGCAGTTTGTGCAAGAGACTTGAAAGGGCCGAGTGTTTTAACATCATGTCTCTGTGTGATCTGAGAACAATTTGCAATCAAGTCGAGGAAAAAGAAAAAAAAAACCTCTCGCATAAATCAGCCAAAGTGACACTTTTATACATCGCTAGATGTCTGTGTTCATTTTTGCTCTCTCCTCTTGGCCCATTGAGACTGAAATGGTGACAAAAACACATTGCCTGACTGTAGGCGTGTTGTTTTTTTGGTTAATTGGTAATTGGATTGTTATTCATTACCCCTTATGTGTGAAACCGGCACCTTTGTCTCGCTGCCTCATTACCTCTCTGTCTGTCTGACGCCCTTCGGTCACGTCTCGTCAGCTGGGAAACATCACAGCAGTGTGACCAGTGCGTGAAAATGGATGTGTGTGTGTGTGTGTTTGCACCATGTGATGCTGGATCTTGCCGTGTGACTATTATGACTGATGCAGCACAGTCAGTTTTTGTCACCGCTGAGTAATAGTCGTGTGTTTTTCGTGTCTTTCAGTCCGAATCCGAGCAAGACGAGGAGTGTACGGGCAGCATGGGCTCCGCTGCTGTCGCTGTAAGTCATTTTCCTTCCTCTTCTTTTATTGTTCTTATTACAAAAGGGTTAGGGGAGTTACAAGTGATACATTTAATAGACGACTGTTGGGGTTTGGTCTTGGAAACGCCACTACTCGTTCCCTTTAAACCAATAACAGAATTAAAAGCAAGAACCACTGACCTATGTGCAGTGTGATCATGGGTGTCTCCCAAATGTGTCAGTTGGCTGTGACTCAGTCATTTGTAGGAAATGGATTAGAGGTTTGTAGCTTCAGCATTATCAATAGAGCCCACAACAGGATGTGGACAGTAGGGTGTGTGTGGGTGTGTGTGTGTGTGTGTGCGCGCACATCTGAGCTCTCCCTCCCCTCCCTGTGATAGCTGGATCCTATAGAGAAGGAGTGGATCTACTCCGCTGCAGGTGCTCGAGTCCCTAACCTCTCACATCTGCTCAGTCAGGACCCCTCGCTGGCAAACAAGAAGGTAACGCCATGGACCCTAAATGAACGAGGGATCTTTTTGGCCATCTGTATGTGGTAATATCGCTATCACAAAGTCTGACGTGGCAAGAAACACGGCAATCAAATGAGCTTTAAACCCAGATCAAGGCTATAGCCAAACTTAATTAGAAGGAAACAAGGAGGACAAACGGAAGAATTATTACCCACTGGTGTCGAGCCCATTCAGAACGTGCCTGGTCGACACCGCACTTCATTAGGTCCTCAGCAAAACACCCCCGCCAAGTCAATCGGATGAAAATTCAAAAACAACAGACGGACAGAGACTTCTTTCATTGCTGCTGCAAGGCATGGGCCAGAGACAGGAGGCTAAATCATCGTAGCATTGTGAGCTTGTCAACGTTTTAAGAAGATAATCAGTAAAAAAAAACACACAAACTGTCCTTTAAATGTTTTGTAAAACTCTTCAGGAAAGTGAAAAATGCTTGTCAAAGCTTGGTGTGTTTCGTTGCTCTTTCATCCCTATTTAGTTTTGACAACAATTTAGATTATTTAGTTGTGATAAAGCATTGAGTAGTGCCCTCTTCAAACAGGGTACAGACCTCATTTTGTAGTGATTCATTCCTACTGAAGTGTATCCAATGCAACATTGTAAAACACACAGCCTGTCCGTGTTGTGGCCCTCGCCTTGCAGGTTGTAGTGGTCCCTCGAGAGTCTCATGTCGTGAACATCCATCCCAGTTCACAGACTGACCTCGACTGTACTAATTACAGGTACACTCTTGATTCCGGTGCAACAAGTGACTTGTACTGACATGTCAGGTATGTTCACCTTTAGTTTAACCTGCAAACAAAGGGTTTTAGATAATCCGGCAAAGCTGTTGGCTTGTATAGAAATAAAGGCCATTTCTGGAGAAGGACCAAAGGACAACTCACTTTTTAGGCAACTCAGGAACTTTAGCTGCATTTCAAAGCAGAGGATTCAGGGACTAAATTTAGTTCCTACACTAACGCTTCAAGTACCAAGAAAGTCCCGACAGGGGGGATAGTGGGGGGGGGGGGGGCTGAGCTCTGCCTATTTGTCAACTTTTACAACTTGAGTACGGCTTCATTCACAAAACACAGAAGTACGAGGTGCCTCTAGTATCACTGGGACATTTCTCATGATGTTTATTGACATAAAAACAATAGTTATGTTCAGATCCAAAGAATGTGAACGAGAGAGACAGTTGGGAGAGCTATACGATGAATGAGAGGGAGGGAGCAGCAACGAGAGGGAAAAGAGGTAAAAATATAAAAATACAAACATTAATTGTACAGTCTAAAGTTGAAATAAATAACTGTCATACTCAGATCATTGGTACTGCGGAGGGAGGAGCTTTTTGTCTCCTTTCATCCGTTTAAAAATCAGTGTCATGCAACAGTACAGAGAACAACATGATGCTGAGTCTGTGTTTTTGTTTCTTAATGTGTGAAAATGTATTTTGTCCGCACTTCATTTGCCTTCAGTCTCATTTTCACGTAAACAGGGACTGTTTAGTTCCTTTGGTTCAATACTTTCTTGCCCTGTTGGACTTTGTCATAGCGTTGTCAGTCTGTTCCCAGATCTAATCAATCACTCTGGTGGGTGCAATGTTATCAAAACTGATAGAATTAATTACCAAACAACACAAATAATGATCCTTCAATGTAAGACGAATACAAAGTGAAGAAACCTGAAAGTACATTTTCTATAAAAAAAAAAACCTCAAACTGTTTCATGTGGTTGGATACGTGGTTTCACTAATTTATGCTTTTGTGTCTTTTTTGTTGGTGGGGGGTCGAACCAGGACTTTACCTCAGTGAGTATTTGATATACCAGCTACAGACTGTAGATGTAGTTATTGACAACTGCTCTGTTATTACATGATTTTTGACTAAAAGCTTCTCCTTTTTTTCCACTTTGGCTCTCACTGTGACTACAACCATCCTTCTCAGGGGGTAAGTTTCATCATAGAGTAATAACTCCCAATACCCGCTGTAGCCTGTTGGAACGGACGCTCATTTGCAACTTGCATTCAAACCGAGCGTATTATTATCTCTGCGTTTCTTGATCTCTCATCTGTGATGGCGTAGTTCAAAATGCACAATGACGCTCGCTGTGTTTTGCTTGTGTAACTTTCACAAGCTCATTCTGCCGAGACCTTTTTCCCCTTAATAGTATTCTGAGAACCCTGTGTTGAAACATCCAGATCATGCATTTCAAAAGGTCCACTATCAAACGGATTATGAAAGATAGCTTTTAGCTCCTGTGCCCCCCTGACAACCCAAATCCTTTTATTTGTCTCCCTGTGCGCTTAAGAGATTTGAGCTCATGTTTGTTGTCCCTCCCCTGTGTCACAGTTCTCACACTGCCCTGTGACCATGGCAGACCACCTTCTAAGAGTAGCCCTAAGCCTCTGCCATCCACACCCGGACAAGATAGCATGGCCGCCATTGAAGTGTAGGGAGAAGATGTGTGTGTGTGGGAGGGGGGGGGGATTAAGGAGAGTCTTAATGCCCCACAAAGACTTCACCCACTTAAAGATAATCTGAAAGTAATAGAGCAGGCTGGGATTAATTGTAGAACAATGCAGGTTGTGTCCCTGGGAAGGTGCTAAGTCCCCCTCAGGCCTCTTTGATGTTCCCTTTAGCCCTCAGCCTTTCCCTGTTCTGCAGAGGTGGATGCCATTCCAGAGATAACGCACAGAGATACCGAGAATCACAAGTCTTTAAAACCAGGAGTCATATATATTTGATCTGAATTCTGTCATGTCCTCACTTTGCTCAACAGAAGTTGTCCTAAGTGTTCCAAATACCAGGCTTTAAATCACATGTTTGACCAGGACTGAAGGGATTACTCTTCATCCTGGGAGGACTTAAGCGTTTCCTGCTCTGACCAAATGTTTGTTAGGTTTAGATGATCTCATAGAAAAGATGTGAAGTTGCTTAAAAGTGAAGACCGGTCAGAACACCTTACACCTCACCGAAGCCAAACACGTCTCACTCCAAAGTCTAATGCTCTTCTTCTTTTTTTTCCTCTCTCCCTGCTCTCCTCGTGACGTGGGCCTTCGTTCCTGCTGTGACGGACTTCCTCTGCCACACAGTTTGTAAGTACATCATTAGCCCATCACTCCTCTCTGCCTTCCTCCACGTCAAGTGTCAGGCACACTGGCCATTGTGTCGCCTGTTGATGGGAGTCCCTTTTTGGGCCACCACTTCCCTCACTGGGGAGCGCGTGGCGGGGACAGGGACGTCCCTGAGTGATTGGACAGGTGGCCACCCCCAGTGGGCAAGAACAGAATCGAGAGGCGCAGGACGGGAAGACGCTGCATCCTGTTCGGCCTCGTCCATCACCCCTGCCCACTGGGAGGCCCGCCGAGCCGCCTGTCAAACAGCCCTTTGGCCAATCTGTCTTGAGATGTGACAGGGGACAGACAAAAGAGCTGGAGATACTTGAGCCAGACAGCATCTATCACAATCTGTCTCCCAGACGCACGGCACTCGGAGGTGCAGCTATACCTATCGCTCCCTCAGTCCCCTCAGTGGGTACAAGCAGACATTTTTCTCTCGCCAGCTGTTGGACAGGCTTGTTTTGCTACACTTAGCACAATTAGCAGCATAGCTTCTAAACAAAAAAAAGGACCTGTGTGCTGTTCAAGTGGCGCGCTCGCCCCGGTTTGTGCCTCTCATGTGTTATCATCACATTCAAAATCACCGAGCTAAACATCTGTTTCCCTGCTACATAAATGCCCGGTGTTGTCGTTTAACAACACTTACAGCTGTTCTGAGGTTATTTCCAGAATCCTCAAAGACTTTTGTAACCTTGGGGAGGAAAAAAATATTCTGTCCACAGAAAATCGAATTTAACCAGTTTCTTGGCCTGCAACTATATTTCTGGATCCAAGTAGCCGGAAAGGACTTTTTTGTACAATACATGAAAAATATAAACCCATTCTTTAAAAAAAACTCCAGTAAATTCTTTTGTAAAATGTTGACATTTCGGTATATTGAATATGTAATTTCCAGATGTTATCTTTGTTTGTGTTTGAAGAGTCTGAGGATTCTGGAAACAGCTCGAGTACATCTGTAAGTTCTGTGTTCTTCAAAGATTGACAGTTTGTTTTTTTGCTTAGCTGTGCGACTAAGATAATGGTAATGCACGAGAGGCAAAAACTAGGGCTAGCCCTCAATTATATGTGTCCAAAAAACACTCACGAGGTATTGTTTCAGCACGCTGTGGAATCAAACAGCTTTGCTATGAAAGTTATGATTGTTTTTCGCGCTTACCAGCACATTTCATACTGCGCACGTGGCAGCGTTGAAGTCTGAGGTTGATTTAAAAGTAGTTTAGGACACAAACAGGCATATTTTCATTAACGACAGTATTTGAACAAGGTGCGTATCTGTTTACAAGATTTCCAATGTTATTTACATTTACTTTGCGTTGATATTAACTTGTTTCAACTGTTCAAAATCTTTGGAAAGAAAGAGACTTCTCTTTTTTTTTTTTTAAAGTTCAACATTGTTGCTGTTGGATCTCCACAACTTTTCAGTAGCTAAGAAAAGTACTTTTCATCTCGTCTGATCGACAGACATAAAATAAAAAGACTGAGGTTATAAGGTTGCCATCTATCCTCAGTCACCATGTCATTCTGATGGTTACTGTTTGATTCACTGTGTTAAGGGTCAGACTCAGAAGGGGTGGATGTGGTTACTTTGCAGACATCTGCACTTACGCTCCGCTTTCACCTGTTGGCAGCCCATAATTACGCAGCTTAAAGAGTGTAGGAGAAACTGTGGAGATCACAGTTCCAGTCCGACAGGTGGATGTGGTTTGCATGTGCTTTTTCGGTGTGTGTTGTACATACATGTGTCTATTATTTTCACATCTTTGCATGTGGACATGTGGGTGTCGTGTCGCGGGGGCCCATGTTTACCTCCTTGACGTGTGCTGACAGTAGTGCGCTGATGTCTGGGTGGGTCTCCACTCTGCAGGTCACACTAACATCATCAATCTTCCCCCGGGTGACAGGCGGCTGCCCCCCCCCCCCCCCCAACTGTGGGCACAGTGCTGTGTTGTTTTGTAATTAGGCTCTGTTAGATGGCAGGAAACCATCTCTCCATCCCTCCCGCTCACCATCCCTCCATCCGTCCACTCCCCTCTGTGCACAGCTGGCCTTCTGCCCTCACACGGCCAATAAGAAGCTGCCCCGCTCAGCTTAGACAACTTGTGATGATGCTAAAGCATTTACCATGCCTGCTATCTTCTGTAATATTGTCAGAGGAAGTGCATTTTATGAATGACTCTTCTTTCCTTATTGCACACAGACAGCTCTGCACTGGGCTGCCAAACATGGCAACAAGGACATGGCTGCTCTGGTGGCTAATGCGGGTGCTGATGTCAACACCAAATCAGTGAGTGCATTTTATTTTTATTATACATTTACTATATATTTTTTTATCATTACAGGGACACTCACGCTATTTAGTATTGGACATTGGTTGAATATTTGAATTGCATTGCGAGTAGAAATCTGCAACGACTGAAGTTCTTTCATTACCTCGGACCAAAATGTACACTTACATCAATTTGGCAAACAAAGTGACAGATAAGCTTTTTCTGTCTTTAAAGGCAAATATACTTCACAATAAAATGTAATTATTTACATTATGGAGATGTGCATTTTGTCCCCAAAAGGAAGGCGAGCCCCACAATGTTACTGGGTAATAGGACTGAGCGATATGGAGAAAAATCAAACATCACATTATTTCAACACACCTCGATACCGCTGTTGTTACGATCGTGGATGGTTGACCATTGGTGCTTTTATAAAATCTTTACTCAATGTAAACAGTAAACTATATGTATTTGCCACAATGCCGTTTGCTTTTCTGTGCAACATCACTGATTTATTCATGGTGTTCTTCTTTCTTGCAGCATGTGAGTATCCAGGTTTTTTTATCAGGAAGTGATGGGTATGTACAGTAAGTTGTTTGATTTTAACTTGAAACAAAAAGGACAGCAACATGGCTGCTGGTTTCTTCTTCTGTGCCCCTCAGTGACGTAATGCTCCTAAATGATCCAGCTGTGCAAATGTATCACAGCAGCTCGTGTTGTCGGGCTGCGGGAGTACTTCGCTAATAAATCATGTCATGTCATGTTAATTGTTTCCCAAAACAGTGCGTCTATATGCCAGCATGCACAACGCTAGAACTATGCAATTTTCAGCAAATTACCAAGCAATTATGTTTTTATCATTATCTTATGTTTCCATAACCTTTGCTAATTTGTATATTTTTTTCCCACATTGTTTTCATTGGCTGTGTTTGGGCCTGGGAATCTCTAGGGGGTAGGTACTAAACCCTTCCACACTTATACCTCTGAACTCAACATAAAGTCAAAATGTCAATTAATTTAAACTGCCTTCTTTAATGTGTCAATGAGGCGACTGTACAGGGTGTGTTTGCATGCCACGTCATATCACCACTGTCCCTAAAATGAGAATAATTATGAAGTTCATCATACAAGTTTTAAAATGTTCTTGATGCATGTTTTCCTTTTCTTCTGCAGGGATATACGCCTCTACACATTGCAGCGTTACATGGTCATCGGCATATTCTAGACCTGCTCATCGTGACATATGGTAAAAACTGCTTTCATTTAACCAATATAGCACCGCCATTAATGCACAATAAAATACATGATTTTACAATAAAGTGCAGTGAATCAGTTTAAGAGTGACGACTGAGTAGTTTAGTTTACCTTTGGATCATGAATTGTCTCTTAAAGCTTTAGGTGAAAGACGTCAGTGAAGTAGCTATCTGCAGTCTTCCAAGACTTTATTCTTAGCTTTCAGAGATTTTTTTTTTTTTTTCTCATCAGGGGCCAAAGAAAACTTAAGGGACTACAGCGGCCATTTTGCCGGCCATTATCTGAACATCAAAGAACCAGAGGGTCCAGAGGAAGACTGCGACCTGCGTGAGTGACTCTTACTTATGCTGCTGTATGAAATGTTAAGAGTTAGATAAACGTCTTTGAATTGTTTTGTCTTTGTTAAGTCTGAAGTATAACATTTAAATACATTTGTAAAACAAAGTAAAATATGCTGTTTTTATTTCAAAGAAAAGTTGATCAGTTTGGGAAATTCGCTTACTCCCTTTCTCTGCGAAAGTTAGAAGAGAAGATCAGCACCATTGTTAGGTTTGAATGCCAAATTAAATAACAAGATTAATACCGCTATCATATCTATCTGCTGATTACAATGCTATACTGCCAGCAGCTGGTTAGCTTAGCTTAGGATAAAGACTGGGGGGGAAACAGCTACCCTGGCTCTGCCAACAAAACCCACCTACCAGCACCTCTTCTTACCTCTATTCATTATTTTTACTGTAACATATTGCACAAAACATTTCTGAACAAAAGTATTACAGATTCAAAAATAACCAGCGTCTAAGCCTTTTATTGCACACATGAGATTAAAATGATTAAAATCAGCGAGGTGTTATTATTATTATAATAGTTATTCTGCCACAGGCTTGAAGGGCAGCTGTAAGTTGTGCAACAACCAGATGTCACTGCGTTTGAAAGTGATATCTCTTAAATGTAGTCAATGGTAATCACAAGCTTTCCCTAATCGTGTTTCCTTTTGTTTCTTGGAATCTCAGAGTTTCAAGTGACTCAGGCCAGAGAACGGAACAGGAACAGAAAGTTGGCATCGTTGTTTCACTCCAAGAAAAAGTGGGGCTCAGCAGAGGAGCTGGCCCCGATAGAGGAGGAGAGGACGGCGTCGCATCAGCTCGCCCTTCCTCCATTCAGACCCAGAAAATTCTCCCGCTGAGAAAAAAAACAGACCCCGGGGACGATCTCTGACTCTGCTAGGCCTTCTACACTCACATATCCACTTAAACCTTACATGCATATATATTTACACACATGATGTTAACCTACATGTATGTACAATAGAAGCCTAATATGTGTATATTTGTTATGTACACACATACACCAACATTTAAACCGTATATACGATATAAAGACACGATCACACCTGAACAGCTCATCTATGCTGAACACGGATGCTTTAACATTAAATAGGAGGTGTTGCAGATGATGCTTTGCTTCTACGTGTATTAGCAATATTTATGCTTATACCATAAAAGTATTTCTTGAAGCCTTTACATTTGAATGAATGTCGCTATATGTTACATATGCCTTACAATTTCAAATGAGCTCAGGCCACACGGATTCTTTAAGATCATCGTCGCCTTTTGTTTGCGTTAAAGACGACGAGTAGACGATAGGACTGTGAAGATGTCCAGGTGATCCAGATTCACTCTCAGTGAGGAGTTAAATGATGATTAAAATATATTAAAATAAGCAGACTAAACTTTTAAAAAAAGACACTGGTTTGTGTGTTTTGGTCTATTAAAAATAATTTGTACTTGCTTGACATTTTCCATAACATACCACAAGTTAGTTTATATTCATGTCAGTATGGCATCAGACTCAATTTGCAGATACCTTCATTTTGTATTGAATTAATAATTATAAAATCACAATTAATCTGTCAACTAAGGGATAGAACGAAAGTTTAAACCAGCATAAACCTCTACAGCGTTTTAAATATTTTATCATTTTTGTACAGTCCCTTATGACAATGAAGTATTGTTGATTGTTCAACTCCAGCAGCTGAGTTTGTGATGCAATTGAACCCTTTGCATTTGTTTTCACCAAGTTTGTGTTTATTGCTTATTGGGTTTTTTTCCAAGTAGCTTATGAATATGCAGCGCTGCATGGCAGCAAAGTTGTATTTCTCCATGAATGAATACACCAGCAACAAACCCTGCTCAAATATTTATGAGACAATACATTTACGTTGACAGAAAAGTGTGTTAATCAACATAAAGGCCGATCCATCAATAAAATTGTACACGTTTGTTGTGATTAATTAGCTATTTCAAGCAAGATTCAGTTTCAAGTAAATTGTCAAACTGTGTTTAAGACAGTCGCTTCTTGGAAGGAAGCACATTGGTGTAAAAGGTAACGCTACGCTTTGCAACTTTGTGAGTAAAGCGTAGTTATTGGGCTACATACAAAACCATAAGTGTTATTCTGAGCCCAGAGACATGTCAGAGCACCAGAAGGTTTCAGACAACATTTTCATCTGCTGTCAAAAGATGCTCATTGTAAGTATTTGTTTATAATTCAGTGCCATTGTAAGAGGGAGTCGTGTATTTTCAAGCTAATTGTTTCATCTAAACAAGAAAAAAAAAAAAAACTGCTTCCATTACATCTTTTGCACAATATTTATATAATGAAGGTATTTTGGTATTAAACTATATTTTATATCAAACTGAATATTTGTGCTTTATTCCTCATTCACACCGTTTCTGCTCCGGCATTGTTCACTTTGAACACAGTTGAAAGTCATTGTGCGTCTACTAACATCAACCTCCAACCTCTGGACTGGCTGCTCACACACAGCTTCTCCTTATACGGAGCAGAGAAGAAGAACAACTTGTGATAATGCCCCCCCCCCCTCTTTCTTTCAATACAATAACCCTAGTTTTTTAAGCCGCCTTTGATCTTACTTCAACTACCTGACTTTGTGGGCTACGGATGGAGTAAATATGGGGCCTGCTAACTCTCCATACGGCTTTAGACCTTAATTCCTGATTAGCTGAAAAGGGCAGCACTTGCTTCTGGGTCTTGGATATCAGACGACACAGAGGGGAACAGAGGCAAGTGTTTTTGTGCTTCATTTTTGAAGCGAGGATGTTTGGGGGATAAGAGGGGAGTTTCTGTAATAGATACTTATCTTACTGCCCTCAAGCCCCTCAAACAAAGTCCCCCTCTGAAGAGATTATAACCCAGGGAGGGCACATTAACTCTAATCCGATGCTTTGAGGCCTTGCACCCCCATACCACCCTCTGCCCCACTTATTCCAACCCTTCTGTTGTTGGGGGGGGGGGCTACCTTGTATCTAGTGCTTGTATGAGTAGGGCCTGTGGCTACACACATGGGTTGTGTGTGTGCGCATGTATGTGTGTGTGTGTTTGTGTGCGAGTGAGGGGGGTGGGGGGACTGTTTCAATAGCACGCTGACTCTAATGAAAAGCATTGAGGGGTGCATACTGCTGTGTAACTGATTCCTCTCTCTGAAGAGATTAGGCGCCACATTGTTGGTTCAGTTGCTCATTTCCATGAGAGCACAGCCTCCCACCAGCGGCTGCTTGGCTTTGTTATTTTGAGTTGGAAAACACAGAGCCCAATGTCCCGGGCTTCCTTGTTACCATTGTTTCACAAATAGGCCAAAATGTAGATGTCACGTCACAAATGCCCAATAACCTCATTAGCTGCTCTCCGTGAGGCTAAAGAGAGAAAATAACAGATGCACGAACTTCAGTTTGTGCATCTGTATGGAGACTCTGCGTAAAATTGAGATAATACTACTCTAAAAACATGTGTTTCACTGCAAATACATATCCCCTATTCTACAGATGAAAGACAGATACATGGGCGGTGGAAACTTTCAACTGAGGTGGAGAAACTGCCGCGATTAAGTTTATAGGGTGACTAAGTATCCCTTAGCATCAACATAAACATGTTATAAATGGTTTATGACACTATAATGTAGTTGGAAGCAGATATTAGTGTTTATAACAACTATTCCTCATCCTGTGGACACCCATAAGTGGAGGCTGGTGTATAAAAAGATAATGAATGACAGTATTGTGAAACACAGTGATAATGTGGAACATATCTTCAAGAGAAGTTAGAAATGTTGATCTGGTCCGCAAACAACTACAATATAGTGTATAAAATGTGAATTCATTGTTTGTTTACTGCTTACAACTGCTAAACAGGAGTGCAGTGTTATTGCTGAAGACTTAAATTGTTTTAATTGGACTTTGTTATACTCAGAAATACGGATGAGACATGTGCAGGGAAAAATGGCATCCCATCCATTATTAAAATCCACATACAGCTTGCAACTACGGTGGAGAAAGGGGATGGGGAGAAATAACGATGTTAGTACCGTAAAAAAACAATACAGCCACTCCTGTAACACTGAGAAATAACCGGTATGGCGACGTCCTCTACGTATGTGCAGGGAAACTTGCAGCCAATGTGTCGAAACAGGGTGCAGCGAGCTAACAAGCTGGTCTGGAACTCCGGGGAAGCTGCTCTGACTGGGCTCCATGCAGCAAACTGGGCCGGGGCTCCAGCCGTGGGATACCGGGGGGGCCCTGCACCCACCCACCGGGGCCCGACACATGCAAGGACACAACCAGCAGCAGCAGCACCAGCTGTCACGCAGGCCATCAGGGCCTAACCAACGCCGCCTGTCACTCACCCAGCGGAGGGCCGTCAATCAGGCTGCACCCGGGAGGGAGCTGGGAGGCGGGACACTGCCCGGCCCCAAACAAAGACATACTCACATTTGCAAGCGGTTTCAGCGCCACTACTATTTTGAAAGAATGATAGAGTGGTCCTGATAAGAGAAACGACAAAGGACAAAGAGTGGAGGGGGGTCTGGGGAAGAGGGAGTCAGATAGTAAAGAGGTGGGAGAGCTTGATAACATTCACACGTTGCTTACATCTCTCCATTTGTGTTGTTGGTGCCCCAGGGAAAATCTCATTAGGGAGTTCTGGTTGGAGACCATTATGCATTTGTTGTCAATTGATTATCTGTGCTTCTCACTATGTAAATCTCTCTCTAGAATTTTAGCTTTAAGTCTTTATTGGGATTTTTCTGTGGCTATATATACATTTTCTGGCAAAATGTCTGAAAACACACTTTAGATACACACTTTTTCATCTTTTCATTTAGCTTTTTTAATGTCTAAGCATGTTTCACGAATAGAATTCTTTCATCTCCTCCGGCTCAGTTTCTATGAGTCTGTCTGTCAACTTTCTCCCCTCTCAGCATGGTGCGGCAAAAATAAACTAACAAGCAATAGGTGTGGAAGACTCTGCGGATTCTCTTTAGGCTCTTGTTGTCTTGTTCACACCTACCTATGAGTTATTCTAATTGCATGTTTCGTCCCTTTGTCGGCTCGCAGGTAGGGGATTGCCTGTAATTGAGGTCACACCTAAACCTTTTGTCCTGACCTGCTCATTAGCCCCTTGCACTGTCGTTCTGCATGTTCATCCAAAGCCAGGGGCTTTCTGTGCAGTGAGTTGTGTGGAATATGCACAGGATTTGTCGATAAAGGAAGGTTCACAGCACTATTTCAATACAGAGGAATGACTCTCCTCTCACAGATAAAGATAAGTCCATCCTCTTTGCTATCTTGTACTGTATCTCTTTGGGTGCTGAGAACAATCGTCTTCCATTTGGTCACTTCTCTCTGCTGCAAACGACTGACATCCTAATGGCAAACAGCACAAACTCAACCTGTCAGAGCAAGACCAACACCTGCATTGTGGTCGGAGCTGCCAAAAGAGGAAGAGAATGAAAAGGAGTTCTACAAGAGGGACAAAGGCCACTGCCCTGAGCTGTTTGTGTTGTGAGATGTAGACTACTGATGCCATAGGCCTCCTTCTCTTTGCACTCCAGCTGGAACTATTGTTGCTCTTGTTCAAATTTGCTTTAGGTTCTGTGGACCCAACCCAAAGAAATTCCTTTTTAGTTTCTCTATCTCTTCATATTTTGGGTCCATCATTACACACTAGTCTACCCTGAATTATGCAACATAATATTTACAAACACCTCTTATGATAACTACGGGGCTATGGTGGGAGAAACAAAAGAGGAAAGGTCAGCAATATAAGCGATTATTTTCATTTTCAGTAAATCAGACTATTTTTTGACCGTTTGGACCACAAATGTCAAACAACTATTCAAAAGATGCCCAAACTACGTCTTCAAATGTCTTGTTTTGTCTGACCAAAAGTCCAAAACCCAAAGATATTGAGTTTATTATTATTATTGTATAAAGCTGGAACTTGATAGCATTTTTTCACTGTTAATACTTGACTTAAACGATTACTCCATTCAAAATAGGAGGATATTATTTTTCAATCGAATAATCCATAAATCGTTTCAGCATTTGCAAGCTGTACCTAATAAACTGAAAACTGAGTGTAAATTCTTAGTAGGTGTAAATTTGCTGCAACAAGGAAATCAATACACCACATTACATGGTTGAACTTTTTCCCCCCAATACATTTGCAAGATTAGCCTTTTAACTGTTTCAAATAATTAGGAAAAAAGAATACCAACTGCTGGTGTAGCTTTTATAAAGTCAGACTTATGGACAGATATGTTAAATATGTGTATGTGCACACTTATAGGCTAATGTGAGGCTTAAATTTTATAAATAATTCAGTTCATAAGTCTGCAACTTACTTGTATGCAGGTGTTATTATTAACAGTGAGGGCCAATGCATTTCCTCAAAATAAGAAACAAGGTTTGCACGACATGAAGAAGAAAGTAAAGCATGTCTCATTATACGCCTATCGGCTAAAGAAATGGAGAGATTTTAAAAGAATTTCATCGAAAGCAAATGCAGAAAAAAAGCAACTTATTGAGGCTAAGTGAAAAGAGTTACAGTTAATAAATACTGAGTATATTTTGGGTTTAAAGTAAAAATGTAATAAAAACAGAAATAAAAATCTAAACAGAAAATATTGTAAAATAAATATTGTAAAGTGGCTTTAGGTATCATCACTGCACGTTTTTTCACTTTAATACTTTTGTCAGTATCGCTACCAGCACTACCCCTCTCAATAGGGTCAATATAATAATACAAATTATGCAAGATAAAAGAGATGAAGCTCCCTTGAACCCAAACACAGAGCTTATGTGGCTCGTTTGAAGGGTATGAAGGGGGGAGAGACATTGGAATAAGAACTGTAATCTTCTCCTCTTATCTCCAACAACCTCCTCCACACACACATACATTAGCATCTGTTATCTCACAATTATCATATACATTAGTCAACACCTGTTTCACTTAACCTCGTTTAATTAGGACCATTGAAACGTTGTGCTTCATGCAAAACAATGCCATCCGACATGTAAAAGGGCAGTTTGTTATGGTTCAGTCAATAAATGAACAAATAAAAAGTTATGCTTCTAAAAGATAACTTGGTTTCAGTCAATTATTTAATGAAAGAACTGCAAGAGGTTTATTTTGGAAAATGTAACACATCCGTCTATAGTGACATTTTTACGCATGCATGCGTAAAACGTACTTTAATTGTTTATTCGCCTAATGTAATGTCATTGAGATGGTTGATTCAATTCACAAAACTACACATCTGTAGAGGATGAAGTGTCATATGCGACAGTAGAGACTGGCGGGATGTTGTTAACTGAATTCAGGTCATTTTCTAAGCTCCGGCGATTAGTGCTAGACATGCGAAGTGTTAAATCCGTCTTTAAAAATACATCAAACTGGTGTAAGTTTCTATGTCTTGAAAACTAAAGAGGTAAAATAAAACCTAAATAAAAACGATTAAAACCTATAAATGGAAAATCAAATAATGTCGCTAAGTGGGCGGATATCATTTATAACGTTTCGTCTTCTGAAGAAAGAAAAAAAGTTTTATTTTGGGCTGTTATCAAAATGAGATCAGTAATACAAACCTAAAGACTGTATTTCTATGACAAAATATGAGCTGATGGTAAAGTCTGAGTCTTTATTCACCTCTCAAAAGAAAAATGTTGCATTTGAATTGAAACTTCAGTTCTTTACAAACAAATCTTGTGTTGCGATAAGCAGCACATATTTAGCTCCTCCACGAAAACGCTAAAAGGAACAGCGGAGGGCCTCTTTGATGGGATTTGTTGCCAGTGAAAGCTGTGGGTCTTTTGAACGTAGCTGTCAGTCACTACCAGTGGGACCTCCCCCTCCCGGCAAACACACGCTGGCAGCTGGGTGTATATAAATAGATCCAGGAGGTCGGATTGCCACTCAAAGCCAAATAGCTGGGACGCAGGAAAGATGCCCGCATCGCATACTGGAATTGGCAGCTTTCTCTTGGAGCGGAACATCAGCATGCCGACTGGATATCAGTTCCCGGTGCTGGGATGCCCACCGAGTATGCAGCAGCAACAGGCTCAGCATCTGGCAGCGATGGCAGCTGGAATTCCAATAACGTACTCTGGACTACAGGGATACAACTTCATCCCCTATCCACACCACAGGCACATCACACACATGGTGAGTTGATAATTCACAAAGTAATTCAACATTTACATTAAAAGCTCAAGTGGAATCATTACAACCTACTTTTAAACAGAAACGTAAGTAAAATCTGATTTTGGAGAAGTTTAACAACTCATTTTCAGAAACGGCATCGTGGAGAACGTACTCGCACTGAGTTGTACTGAAGTTATGTTAGCCTAAAGCCTCAAAAACGTTTCCAGAATCCACGAGTTCAGGAAATGTTCCCCTTTATTACATTTCTGTCTATAAACAATTGAATTGTGTGCTCTGGGTCAAGGGTCGCCAAATCCGTGCGTAATTGCGCACAATCGAGATTCCTTTGCTTGCTCTTACGTTCCTTCTCTCTGTTTTCCAGAACAACGGTTTCGATTTGAAGGCCACCTCTCCCTACCATCACGCGCTACTGGCTCGCGGGGGAGCTTTCTATCCACCGTATCGCCCTGGAGCAGCAGAGGATCCCGGTAGGGTCGCCAAAGTGGCCACCCGAGAGAGCACCGGCGCGCTCAAGGCCTGGCTTAACGAGCACCTGAAGAACCCGTATCCGACCAAGGGCGAGAAAATCATGCTCGCTATCATCACCAAAATGAGCCTCACGCAGGTCTCCACCTGGTTCGCCAACGCAAGGCGACGCCTTAAGAAGGAGAACAGGGTCAGCTGGGCGTGCAAGGGGAAATCAGACGAGGAGGAGGAGGATGAGCAGGAGGGAGAGAGCGACGATGCAGACAGTTCCATGCAGAACTGTCATCTGGATGAGGAAGAGCCTCGAGGTGACTCCGCACACACCGATGAGCACGAAGACGGCGCTTTGGACAGCTCAGCGTGTGCGGATGCGCGGTTGGAGATGCCGCAGCAGCCAAGCAGCGAGCACGAGGACAGACAACTTGCACTTGTTAAGAAAGTTGAAAAGAGCGACTCTGATCACACGCTATCGGAGAGTAAAGAAAACATTGCCAGTCAGAAACCCAAAATCTGGTCTTTGGCCGAAACCGCCACCTCAGAGACTGTTAAGAAACCCCTGGACAATATTTACCACCCGGCCGGAAAACTGTGGGCCGAGTGGGCTTCAAGAAACGGACTGTTCGTTCCGTCATGTTACACCACTCGTGAAATGGTCTGAGTGGCTATTGAGACACACATGAGAGACACTTTTCCACTTCTATGCACTTTAAACTTTCAAACCTCAGGGAGTTGGTCGATTATTCCTGAAGTTTGCAGTGAAACGAAAACCTGTTTTGAGACCAAAGACTATAAACATGTTGTAAATAAACGTAGATGTATTTTTCCATCGCCAACATGTAAATTATGTTTCCTTTGTCTATTCATGAAGAAATATTTTTGCTTGAATAAAGTTCAGCGTCTAAATACAATTGTTTTGACTGGTCTGTATTAGACTTCAACGCAATGATAAATTCAGACAGTTTTACTTTGGATAAATGGAAAGCCATATCGTTTCTCGTTAATAGGAAAACCTATAAAATGTGAAAACTCCAACATATAACAGTTGGTGTTAATAAAGGTTCGGCACAGAAGGTAGCATTTTCTTCAAGATGAACTTAAATTCTCATGTAAGACTAAAAGAGAAGTTGGCTTATTCATGTAAATTGGATGAGTACAAAGAGAGTATTGGCCTTACTTTGCATAGCAAACCCAAGACCCAAGTCTATTTAATCTTCCCAAACAGGTTTTGGGTCAGATTGTTGCTGGGTAATCCCTGCCATGACTGCATGTTGATAGTTGTGTTTATTTTAGCCAATTTATCCTCAGGTAAACTGCAATATAAAATGAATTTAGATTAGGCAGCAGCAGGCTCACATGTCTGTTCCAATTGTTAGTTACGTTTAGGGTCTGGAAGAAGGATTCTTCACTATCACGTTTCCGTGTAAATTCAAAGGGCTGTACCTTCATTAATCCGGGGATAATGAGAAAGCCCCTGGGCGCGTTGTTGCCTTGTCTTCTGGCCTCGCCTCTGCATGCAAATCCCTACAAACGGGAACACACAGAGGGTAGATTAGCTCTTATCTGAGCCCATTTTCTCACAACAAACAGATGAATATAATAGAATGTCACAAAACTTCAAAATGTTAAGAGCTACTTCTAAAACTATCTCCTTTTGATTTGGACGTTTACAGTGGTAGCATACCTAATTACACTCTTCTACTCCTTATAGTGCCCGTTTACAAAGAACATAGTTCAGCAGTGGGGCACTGTAGAGACACTATTTGATGAGCTGCATTTCCAACAGTCTACAGTGAATCTATCGCGCCCCTCTGAGGACATGAAGTGGAACTACAGCACGATACATCCCATTCAATCTGCGCTGGGAGGGAAAAGCAACAGGTGCATGACGCTGTTCGCTAAATGTTATGATTCAGTAAATAATAAGACAATGGTTAAACATATATTTTCCGATTGAACGTGACTTACACTTTCCAAGGACATCATTATCTCCAATGTCCATCAGGAATAAACGTCCATAAATCCGCTTAGATATCATGAACGCTCATTAAAACTCCAGGACTTGACTGAGAATCTTCATGTTTTTACGTTTTCGTGAGTATCAAAGTGATGCAGTAATAGGTGTCCGAACACCCGTGGGTCCACTGCAAAGATGAACTGCTTGTAGCTAATTCGGCTCACTGTTAAAGCTGCCAGTCTTCCGAAATGTAAACAGATAATGACTGAACCTGAGTTAGCATTTCCGACACATGGATCTCGAAGGACATTACACTTCCTCATAATGTCCCCCCAAGGCATTATGGGAACGATTTTAGTGACACTTTGAAAAACTCCTGCATTTGATAGACACACTAACAAATATCAGGAAAAATAAACACTCCAGATTGACATTCAAGTGGCGTGCATTTTAATGCAAATTCAAATGTTTTTACATTACACGCCTTTTTCCATGCACAATTATCCCCATAACAGAACTTTGTACAATTATGTATTTTTTCAAATTATGCAATCTACAAGACATATAATACAATGACAAAATGTATAGAAATACTTATAACATATGCCATAAACTGCAGTAGAATGTCCTTTCTAAAGTAGTTACACTACAACTCCATTATTAGAGAATGAGTTAATTATACTGTAAACACTTAAAGCTATATACATCATAAGGGGGAAACTATGTACAACAGAAACATAGGGCAACATTACACAACAGGTTAGTAATTACATGCTATCAGCAATGATCAGCTGCTTTCAGACTGTGAATGTCTGCGTTTGTGATTCCTGTCGAGAAAGGATGGACGATTTCCCATTCTCCTGAGTCACATAGTTTCCATTTTCACTGAGAACTAAATCTGGTAACACCTCCTGGCTCAGCTCATCCTCGTTTTCCTCCGGTGTCCTCACGCCAGCCTCCTCTTGAGAGGACTGCAGCTCGTGCATCATGGACACTTCCTCAGTAGGATCAGTTGGGTTCATTTTCAGCACTTTGGTTTCTCTCAGTGGCTCCTTTTTGTCGCCCAGACATGATTCAAAACAGACCTACAAGAGAGTAAAATAGTGTTCAAATGTAGAAATATGGAATATTACATTTTCAGTTGTGGCCATAGAAAAAACGTTTTTCATGAATCCAAGGTCAACAGTTATAGTTTGTCAGTGTGTTTTTATGCTCTGAATGTAAGAGATTACTCCACTTCCACATGAATAGAAAACCTGGTTTCCATTCTCAGGTTATGGGATTAAGAATATTAACACCGTTACACCCTGTAGACCCCAAATTAAATGTCATTTAAAATAATAGTTTAACAATTTAGGAATTAACCTTAATTCACTTTTTTTGTAGATAGTTAAATGAGAAGATCCATGGGACTCTCATGGCTGTTGGCTAAACATGAAGCTAGTACCAGCAGTCAGTTAGCTTAGCTTAGCATAAAGACTGTTTAACAGCTGGCTCTGTTTAAAAAGTACACAAAACACAGCTTATTGTTTTCAAACTTCAGTTTTTGTTTGTTTTAAATAAATGACACACAACTAGTTTACTAGTGAGGTGAGCTATTCCCCCTGTTTCTAGACTTCATGCAAAGCTAAGCTAACCACCCACTGGTTACAGCTTCGTATCAATCTTCTAATCCAACTCTCGGAAAGAAGGCGAATAAATCAAAAAATCTCAAACTATTCCTTTAAGTGTGCATCTTAAAAAGACACCGGAGAGGTAAAGTAACATTGTTTTAGAATCAATTATTTCCAACAAAATCAGTCACAGTAAAGTGTGTTTTTATGAGCGCAATAATTTGGATTCTTTTCAGAATGCTACAGGTTACTTCAGTCAGTTTATTGCAGTCAACAACGTAGGATGAAAATAACATTTACCTTCACTTTTCTTTTTGCGTCTTCTGGTTTACAGAAACAACAGAGAACATGAGTACAGTAAGTGGATTACTGGAACTTGAACTCATTGAACATGTCATAAAAGAGAGCATTTAAAGCACAACGTACCTCTGCAAAAACAAAACCAGCAAACACAAGCTATAACCCCAAGGAAGATCACAGAACACACAACTCCGATCACAATATGTGACCGTGAGGTTTCCTCTGCAACACAAGAAAAAGAGAGAAAAAACATTAATCACATATTGACACTTCCAGCAGTGTCACTTTCCCAAGGTATCATCTCCAATAATACAGGATCATTTGAGTAGGATACAAATTGAAATAACAGGAAATGCGTTTTCAGCAAATCACTGAAACACGTTCATATTTGCCACACTGTAGCAGAGGAAGCACAAATAGATATTGAAGAAAAGAGGATTTTCATAGAGTCCATGCTTACTTTTAAATTCTAAAAATGTGATTATTTAGCCGTTTAAAACACAGTGGAGCCCAGACATGAAGGTAGCGTAAACAATGTGTCGGTGAAAGCTGTTAATCACAGTCAAAACCACAGACCAACACAGATTCACGAGATCTATCATCACATCGCCTCCATAGTTTCGCATTAAGCAAGCCACCACAAATCACACAGCTGCAGGTGGCAGGAGAGCGAAAAGTGAGAAACTTTTACAATTTATCAGCCTACGCAGAACTTACCACAGATGTTGTCAGACACGTCTGTTCCTTCTGTTTTAACATGGTATCTATCCATACATCTGCAAAGGATTTAACAGTGTTAAAGGATAATTCCTGGTTTCAGATTCAGGTGATGTCCTGAAGCTTCTTATTCAACTCCCATTCAAGCATACTGACACTATGGTGAATAGGGTACTCTGCTAAAGTGACAAAAACAAAGTTGAAGCCCCTTCCTGTGTAGGACATTATGAGAAATGTGCTTTCTTACAGAGAGTTTAATGAAAAGATCAATGCCACTCTCCTGCCTGACCAGCAAATATACAGCTACAGCTAGTTAGCTTAGCATAAAAACATAAACAAATGTGGGGGAAACAGCTAGAAACACACCAACTATTGATCTTGTCATTGAACTCTTTGTAAAAGCTCAAATAAGCGGATTTTCTGAATTGTTTCCTTTATAAGTGACGTAGTAAGCTTGAGGGAGCCCATGACAAGACAAAAAACAAAACGAGAAGAAATCATTTCCATGTTTATCTCTGGAACAGCCTTGAGGACAAAAAGGTGTTGTTCTTTTGAAGGTTTGTTTGCCGAAATACACCAGCCGAGATGAAATGGTAAACTGAGGTTCTAGGTGTGAGATTTGTGGACGTGGAATTTGAGTTCCTGCACTTACTTTGTCCATTCCTTACAGACATAGCCCCATGAGTTTTCTTCAGAAAATGTGCCCTCTGTGCATTTCTGACACACCGTGTTATGCGTGTGGTTGCCTGAAAGCAGAGTGTGAAAGATTCAGCACATTGCCAAAACAAAGCTGGTCATACTTTACGTTTTTTAATGTGAATCAAAGCGATGTGTCATACCTATGGATCGAGCTCCGTGTCCTGGTTTACAGATTGTGTGTGGCACACAGGTTATACACTCTCCACTTGAGCAGTGGAATCCCTCTTTACACATGCAGGTGCTTCGTTCCTTCTTGTTCTTTTGGACATTAACATTAAAGTTCTTATCTGAAAGTAGAATGGACACAAGTTGTAAGTTTTGCTACGTCAAACTGAAGTCTATCAGTGTATACCTAGCAACCGTTGTGTTTAGTTCTTACGTAGGTCACAGTATGGTTGACGTTGACACATGGATTCAGTTGTGTATTTATCCTGATACTCATTGTCTCCACATTCTGTGCACTGAGGATCCAGACAAGTACCGCCGGACGACATTCTGGTCCCTGAAAAAAACATACTGTAAGTTCTTGTTCATAGTCAAAAGTCTGTGCAGTACTACTGTGCAGTACTATATTTGTCTCAGGTATATACAGTAAATGGGGACATGTGGCTTCAAGGAGTAGTTAGACATTTTTGGGAAATAAGCTTTCTCGCTGAGAGTTAGATGAAAAGATTGATACCATTCTCCTATCTGTCTGTTAACTACATAGTTACATCCAGGGGACAGTTAGCTTAGCATAAAGACTGAGCACAGGCTAGCCTGCTCTGCCTAAAGGACGGTAACAAAACAATGCCTCCACCAGCTCCTCTAAATCTCACTAGTTAAACGTTTCGGATTAGTTTACAAAAGACAAAGTGTAAAAACAAGAAGTTGCAATTTCTCGTGGGGTTGTGTGCTCTGCAGATCTGCTGTATATATATATATATATATATATATATATATATATTTATTTTGGTATAGTTTAGTCTGTGACATGTTAAATCCTAATGCCCATTACAAATTCCCAAGGTGACATCTTAAAATGGGGAAGTGAAAGAGAAACCAACAAAGGAAAAAAAGCAAAGTGAAAGCAAATGTAAATGTTATTAGCATCAGTGATCATGCTCTTTGAGAAATGTGCTACTTTTTGCCATCTGTGACTTCTATATGCTGTACCTTTAATGTTTATTTGTTAATGTTTTTAGGACAGTGAGTGCCTGTGTGGCTGCAATAATAGAAAGTAACATGTTCCTGGATCACTTTTAGATATGTTTACGTACCTGGACCACACATTTTGCAGCACATCCCATTCTTCTCAGATTGAGTTAGAGGGTCGCAGACGTGCTGAGCAGCTGTCATCACCTGTATGACAACAAGCGGGAATAAGAGCAGTGAACATGAATAAGAGCAGTATCCTCTGTATTGATGGTGAGGTGTCTCTGTCATGGCTGTTGGACCACTTCCTCTCCAGAGTAGACTGTTTGAGGCGTGACGGAAAGTCCCAAACGTTCAAGAAGCTGTCAACTCTGAAACTGAATGCCAGCTGCTTCTCGTTCTTTCTTTTGCACATTGTATCTGCTTTAATATCATTATTTTGCGTATTTTGTGTAATTAAGAAAAGAAAAAAAGTCATGCGTTTCACTGCAGCGAGTTAAACGAAAGTGAAAGTGACTTTTAACAGACGTGCGTCAAAGGGTGTAACCGTGAAATAAAAATGCACAATTTCGGCCATAATATCACATTTAGCTGTACATCCGAGTAAAATACAAACAGAATGATTTAGAATTAGCTCCAATTATAGCCAACAACCCCACGACTAAACGATACAGCGTAAATGCTGCTACTTATCATATCTAACAACGAAATACATTGATTAGATTACTCACCGAACAACCCATGATCATCATCAGCAATAGATGCATTTTAGTGGATCGTGTCCGCGGCATGTTGCTCTCCGCTTCAACAGTAACAGCAGAAATGTGTGTCGTTGCTACTCTCAAGTCTGCCCTCTTCTATCATGGAGGGAGGAGCTGCTTTAAGGGTATTTCCTGTGTGTGTTTTTTTACTTGACCGTTTCCTGTAAATTAATAGTATCGTGCCGGCAGTTTGGTTCCTAAAACGTCCAGAAGTGACTGTCAATTCATTCATTTTTCTGGGGAAATTTCACATTGGTAAACTTCTCGAGGTCTCGCCCATCTTTTGAACCCTTGAGGATTGAGTTTAGAAAGTAGTGTCTATCCAAACTATAAACAACAACAAATGTGCTCATATACTTAATTTGCTCCAGGAATCTTCTAAAGAAATGTTATTGCCTGTTAATATTTGTATTTTTTTTTCACTCCTCTCTTGTTCTTTTATTTATTCATTTTATAGTATAGTAATATAGCTTATTATGTCCTGGTTGAATCACCCTAGTGGGAATTAAGACAAGGTGTTATGGTATTCCTATTTTAGATTAATACCTAATGTTTTGTGATAATTTCACACATAAATAACGATTACAACAATAAAAAAACAACATGTAGTAAGTCATATTATTATTATGTTATTCAATACCACGTTGCATTTAAAAAGGATAAATCGCTTTTATAAGGGAAAGAGGGTTATTGTTTTCATTGTTTTCGGTCACACATGTGCCTCGAGCATGAAACTACACCAGATCGAGGGATTCCCCAAGAATTTTTCACCAGGGGAGATTTCCCAACACGCTCAGCGTGTGACTTTTGGTGAAGGTGCTGCTGCTGTGTTCAGACATGCGCACTGACCATTTAAAGTGTCTAAAACGTAATCGAGTGAGCCCTGCACCGTTCAGATTGTTTTGCGTGTGTATTCATGCAATTACGGCACATGTACAGCGGGTAGGCCTACAGCTAAAGAGGCACATGCGCACTTGATTTCTCACTTACTGCAAATTCCAATGGATTCCTAATAATAATAATAATAGTGTTCTTTTCCTGTGCACACATTGAACATGATGCCATTTTAGAGGAATATTTATATAATGAAACATCTGAATTTTGTACATTTCCCTCATAAGTTTTGTAAAAAAATGCTTCAGTACAAATCACTGACTTTACCTTCATGCTATTCCTAGTTGTAGGATCTCTTGTCATTCCTGTTACAGGATACCTGTGAGAGAAGTTATTTTGAATATGCGTGTATGTTTGTGTTTTTCTTCTTCTTTTACATTGACATTTGTGTTCCTACATGCACTTTTTTGTGTTGCTTTTCTTGTATTAGCCCTACTCAACATTAAAGACCAGGACTGGGGAGGAAGGGATGATGGAAGGGTGGGTGAAGGGTAAAATGTACTTTTCATCACACTATACTAGACATTTTCCATTTTTTCTTGAACAAAGAATAGAAATATTACATCTAATGTAGTCCTAGTAATGTGCTTCTCTCTTCCTACATAGCAAAATAACATTTTAGTCCATTTTTGAGAATTAAATATTAGCCTAAAATCCAATTTCAGTCAGTTGACATATTAAAAGTTCTGAACAGTTTTGCTGAGAATTCAGTCGGATATATTCACTATTAATAAAGTGCCAAACTACATTGTTGTTGTTGAATCCACCTTTTATGGGTGAAATCATTTTTTATAAAAATACGATGAAAAGTTTACATGTGTTGATTTAGAAGTTTGCAGTTGACTTTACGTTAAAATTTTCCTTAAAAACTGTACATTACAATTAAGTCATATTTCATATGTCTGTAGGCAATTACATTCTGATTAGAATACATGAGAGGTATAAAGTGCATTAGTGTATTTCATTGTATTGTTGTGGTAATGGCAACAGCAGCATGTTTCTCAGCTCTCTCTCTTCTGGGTCAAACAGGTTGAGCAGCAGATAAGGCGCATTGTTCTGCAAGTGGAGACACGTAAACTTCCAGGAAATGTTTGCTTCTCTGCAGCGGGTGTGGCCGAACTGCCTCTACCTGCCTTACTAGAAAAAGTAAACCTTTAACCCAAAGAGGGTGGCCGCAGAAAGACTGACACAAATCACAGCACTGTTGAGAGAAGCAGATTTGTAATTTAGGTCTTGCGTGACAAAAAAAAAACCAAAGCATCTTTCATATCTTTGCTTTAAAAGAAGATCGGTTTGATGGACTGATAGGCTGCATGGACTTTCCTGTGAAATCTAAACAGTTATGATGCCAAATTTAGGATCAAAGAAGAAGGACAATCCATCCAGATTGGACAGGCACACCGAGGACTTGCCACAGGTAAGATTTCAGTTCATATACTTTAGACAAGGGAGCAATCATCAAGCAGTAACTCCTTTTATCAGCCAGTCTCAAGTCCTACTTTACCACAAAAGTGTAAAATCATTGCTTCTGCAAATCAGCCCTCTCACTTCCATTGTGCAGCAAGAGGAAATACAGTTTTGTTTTATGGGAGTCTCTCAAGCATTTCTTACTTCCTCAATTCAACCTGACTTCCCTGCTGTTTGAAGTTTCCCACAAACGAATCACCTTTTTACTCAGAAATGTGAGCAACAACAACTGATTTACACAAGAACAATGTCCAGTTCATCTTCCCCCTGAAACAGAAAGGACTACGCCATCTTTTTTTTTTTTTTTTGCAACTGATAAAATTGTGTCGTTTTCTTTTTTACGTTCCTGTAATTGCACGTATCTTAGAGATGCAGATGCTGATTGTACTTTGAAACGCAGTGGTTCCTCTTTACAATTCCAGTGAACTGAATCTGAAACAACCGGTTTCTCTTATCAAGCTCCACACATAATAGAAGATTTGGTGAAAAGAATACTGCATGACATCTAAATGGAAAAAAAGCATAAAAGCCCTAAAGGAGGTTTGAAAATGGCTTTGTAGTAAAACTCTAGGATTTATTTGTTTGTTTGCCACACTAGGGCTAGTTTTTGTCACACACCACCATGCATATTTTGGGAAATATTAACCAGAATGGTGCACGTAGAGTATTCTTAGTTCACAATAGAGATGATTTCTTAAAAAGAAACAATATGTACCTTGTTGTGCTTTCAGTTGAGCAATGAGATGCAGCTGAGCATCATGCAAAAGGTGAAGAGCGGAGAATTGTCCATCGAGGATGCCCTGAACCAGGCCAGGAAGGACGGGAAGCAGGGGCCTAATCAGAAGACAGTGGCTGAAGAGGTATGAGCGTTTTAAATCAATTCCTCACTAGTTTGAGGGTTGTGATCCTGAAGTTCTGTCAACCTGATTTTGAGTATGGCATAGTTTTCTACTCTATTTTGATCAAAATGGGGGACTTACCGTTTGGTGCTATAGGCAGGTAGCGCACAGTGGGTCTTCAGAGCTATTTCACTGGAAACAGCTGTTGAAAACAACATGAAAGCAGTGAAAATGAACCAATTCAGTTAAGTTTGGGGGCTTTAAAACAATGATGTTGTGTTCACGAACTTCCCCATCTCCACAACACATGAGAGTGGCATCAATCGTCTCACTCTGCCACATTGAAGTGTATTCATTTTAAAGATATAATTTGCATCTTATATTGCTTTGTGAATGACCTACTTGGCAACTCTGGAGTTAACGACCTGCTCAGCCTGCTGGATCGGTTTAAAGTACATCTATATGTGGCCAGTTTGATTAGGACAGGTGCATTTTTTTGAAGGAATGTAGCAGACATTTTGTCTGTGCTTTACTTAGCAGGAAACAGATAAAGGACAAAATATAGTGTCCTTAGGATGCTACTTGTTGTTGACTAAAATGAGATTGCCATTACTTATTCATGTCTGACGTTTGTTTTTTTTTGGCTGTTGTTGCAGGAACCACAACCCTCACAGTACAACTTCAGTGTTCACAAACACAGTCGCTACAGATGGCAGAAGAGGGTTCTTCAGGTGAGTTAAAACAACAACAACAACCAAACATGATTGAGATCGTAAAGCCAGCAGCCTAGCAGCTCTGTGAAGCTACTTGTACAGCTTTGAGGTTCAGCATGCTAAAATGCTCACAGCGGCAATACGAACATGATGTATAGCAGGTATAATGTGTACCATATTAGTTTAGGGTATTAGCATGCTAACATTTGCTAATTTGTACTAAAGTACAACTGAGGCTGATTGGAGTGTCATTTGCTTTGCAGCTAAATGGTCATAAACCAAAGTATTGGACTAATTAAAATGTACCTGATAAGGTAAAAACTAATTGATCACCAAAGTGATAACAATTCATCCTGAGGGGGACATGAACATGTGAACCCAATTTGAACAGGACAAGTCAGGGGACAAACAAAGTCAGTAGGATTCATCCTCTGGAGACCACAAATGTCTGAAATTGTTTTTATTGCAATCCCTCCAGTAGCTTTTGAGATATTTCAGGGTGGAACAGCATGCTAGCTCAGAACTCAGAAGATCAAATGTGATAATTTTTACTGTGTTACAGTAGATGTGCGCTAGTAAACTAATTAAAACCCTCTCTTTATTAAAACCCAGATCGATTTCAAGACCAAAATGCTGTGCAGTATTGAGAAAGGCATCATCAATCGGCAACTTCCCTTCCCCCATGTCAAAAGTTGTGATGATGGAGTGGGTTCTAGGTTTACCATTTCCTTTAAAGGACATCATGATTATGAATTGGAGGCCACTTCACTGGAGGACAAACAAAAGGTAAATTCATACGTAGTTTGTATACTTAAATATGTCATTTACCATCACATAATTTGCTACGGCTGGGAGATATGGAGAAAATCTGACACTTTTACCAAATACCTTGATATCGATATTGCAAAGTTATTGTAGGATTGACCATTGGTGCTTTTACAACATATTTATTTAAATGAGAGTTTAATCAATAATCATCACTCATGTGGATATATTGACTAAGTGGGAAAAGGCAAATAATATTTTATATATTTTATCATAATTTTACTGTAATGCATCCTTTTAAACGAAAACACAACACTTATTACGATATCCACATATAAGACGATATCTAGTCTCACAGTATCGATATAACCCTTATTTGTGCTATGAGGAGGAAAGTCTTGTTCTTCTTTTTCTGTTTTGTAATCGATGTTTACATTGGGACTTTGTTTTCCTGGTTCTCAGATGATGCAGCTCGTGAATCAGATCATTTATGGGAACATATACAGTGACAATACAGAAACACGTCAGCAGCCTCAAGCGTCACAGAGACTTCAGGAAGGGGTCTTGTTACTGCACCGGGGTGGCCTGGCATCCTTCAGATGGGTGAAGTACGGATGTGTCCTTATTACTGTAAAGCTGCTATTGTAGAACAAATACACAACAAATGTGCAGCAAAATTAGCATTGACAAAGGATTTGTAGCCACATGTTGTCACCCACATTCTCAGTTACAAATTCAGTAAATATCTTTATTCAGGACTGTGAAGGTTTTTTGTGCTCCCACTATAGAAGTGACAAAACTAAAGACATGTTCTAAGATATTTAAAACATTTTAATTTGAGTAATACTTTGTCTGATATAATATTCTTCTTGTATACAGTACATACTGAATACAGTTGGTATATAGTGAGGAATTGAGACACAGCTCAGGTCCTGTTGGATTTTAGCTAACATTTCCTTCTTCATTTTGTTCCAGATATGAGGTCCAGCTCCATCCAGGTCAGCTAATACTGCTCCCCTTCAGGCGACGAGGCCCCGCTAACACTGAGGTGACATCCTCGGTGCCCTCGTCCATCGTGATTCATCTGTCAGACGGCGACACCAGTGTACAGAAACCTAACAGCTCCGACGCGTTCACACTGATCACCCACAAAAACATGTACCAGTGAGTGAGGATTTTTAAGATGTGGAAACAAACAGTAAACAGTTAATAAAATCAGCTGTTTCTCTTCGCATTCATGGCCTTGTAAAAGTGTGTAATTTCAGTTCCCCGAGATATCTCAGCCAATGAGGGAAGTTGAGTTAGGTTTTGTTGATATATTGCAGGTTCCGGGTCCCTGTACCAGATCAAGCAACTTCCACTGGATCTGTCCAGACGGAGCGAGATGCTTGGGTTAAGGCTATTGACAAACTATGTTCAGGCTGGAAGAGGAAGTCCATGGACGAATGCACGTTTATGGAAAGAATGGGCCTAAAACATCTCAGCATAGCTGAAGACGCAGAGGACACCAACGCAGAGCTTGAGTCAAGTGGTGAATTGGGTGGTAGAAATACGACTTATCTTCCAGTTGATTATAAAAATGCAAATCCCCCTTCTGGCAGTGGAGATCATTTATCAGCCAATGACACGAGTCAAAGTTATCCCTCAGCCGACCATGCCAAGCCTGTTCCGAAACCTCGCAGCACCAGCAACACTGATGTCAGGCCTGATATTTTGCCTTCCGTCCCATCACCAACCTCCCCTGATGTCTTTGCCTTATCTACGTCTTCTTCCCCTCAACCCTCACCCTCCAATGCTATCTGCACACCCTCTTCCACAGTCCCAGAGTCTCTTAACCATGAATCAGGCACGTCAGTTGAGAAAGAGCCTTCATCCGTGAGTGTCCCACCCCCACCACCACCTTTACCCTTCAAACTCATGATGAATTTAAGGAAACCACGTATCAAGGCTTTCCACTGGGACCTAGTTGGCAAAGAGAAGGTAACTGTCACAGTTAAAACTTAAAAATTACATTATTTTTACATCTACGTATAAAGCTTACAAAGTGTCTCATTAGTTGAACTTGTTCACATTTAAAAGCAGTGTTTTATTATTGTGGCAAACACTGAAAGGTCAGTTTCAACTTGGTCTCACTTCATTATTGCTGATATTGCATCATTATTGTGAATTATTCTTTGTTTTTTGTGTCAAGTTATTGCTTCCCTAGTGTCGCTCTTTTGTAATGCTCACATTGATTTCCTCCCATAATGGAGTTGTCTCAGTCCTGAATTAATTTGTTTCTTGGCAGATTGCAAAATCATTTTGGATACAGGAATGCACCGGGAGGATTGAAATCGACACATCGCGCTTATATGAGCAATTTGCCGTTAAAGATCTGGGGACGTCTGGTGTGGCTGAGCAGAGCAACACCCAGGATATTATGCTCAACAAGAAGATCGCACACAACTTCAGTGAGTAACTCAACAATTAATATGTGACTGAGTGGTGAGGTAAAGTCGCTTAATCCTGCAATAGATCAGATTAGATTTTCCCAGCAAAATTGACCTAATTAGTATAATTTCATGTTGCAATGAAGAGGCATTCTACTGGAGTATATGTCAGATAAAAGACCTTGCTCTCTCAGTATATTAGAAGTTGTCCAACAGAGGGAAGCACCACATAGAAAGAGTAACCAGGATCTATGCAGAAGCAGTGTTTATTTTAATTTGACTTGCCCAGTTAAGAGGACGCTGACCTGAGAACTATTTTAGGAAGGGCCTATAAATGCTGCCATTTAGCTTTTTAAAACAATGGTTGAGACTGTACTGATGCCACAACGGCAGATGGATGTTCCCCCCACGTGTCAGCAGGGGGCAGTGTGTCACCAATCCTCGCTGTGCCACAACTGCCCCTGCAATCTGCAGAGCTATTGTGAAGTGGAACATATTCTACATCCCTTCTAATGGCTTTTTCGCTTTTGATTAACTGAGTGTGCGTGGCTTGTATATTTCAAGACCCAAGCCAGGGGAGAACATCTCAGAAACTTCCTTTCACATCTCTTCCAGCAGGCACAGGCACTGGGAAGTGATACAGATGTGGTGGTGGTGGTGGGCTGCTAAGTGGAATCAGTGTGAGTGTGCAGACCACAAACATAATTAGAGTTCACATGTTCATGAAATATGGATAGGGGATCTGAGCGACAGCCTCAGCGATTTCCTGTCCTGATACAGAATATCCTAGCGTTCAGAATTCATGCTCCTGCCTGACCTGGAAACTTTGCTTGTGTGAGGAGCAGGAGCTGAGCGATGACAGCCTTCAGGCAACCCAAGGCCATGCATCGTTCTGTTGCAAGCTTTAGAAAAATGTAGACATTTGAAGAACAAGGGAAACTCTGTGTCTCACTCCCTCTCCTACTTTGGTATAGAAAGTGACATTTAAGCAGCGTCAGAGGAAGTATTTAGATCCTTTACTCAAGTAAAAGTAGTATTACTGCAGTGTACAAATACTCCATTACAAGTAAAAGTCATGCATTGAAAATGTCATCTAAATATTATCACCAAACTGTAGTTAAACTATCAAAAGTAAACATTTTCTTAATCCAGAAAACACTATTGTATTTTAAATTATTGGAATATTATTACCGATGCATTAATGTGTAAGCAGCATTTTCTGGTTGTAGCTTGTCAAGGTGAAGCTAATTTGAATTATGTTATAAACTACTCAGTAGTTTAGCCTAGACTCATATGTTTTGTATGTAAAATCTCCTTTACTATATATAGTAACATCAATAAAATCAGGGGAGTAAAAAGTGCAACATTTTGCTCTGAATTGTAGTGAAGTAGACGTATAAAAGCAGCACAAAATGCTAACACCGAAGTAAGGTAGAGAACCTATTGTACGGTACTTGCGTAAATGTCACATTACGCCACTGCAACTGCAGCTATTGACCTACTGCTACTACATGTTAAACAATTGAAAAGACAAAGGGCTTTTTCTTAAATAATACAAACTGAATCAGACCAAAGCGGGAGGACTGTCCCCCCCCCGGATTCAGATCTCATTGAAGCCACATATGATAAAACAAAATCGGTTAAAAGGACCTCTTTCTCTCCTTCTCTCTCTATCTCTTGGCATCCCCCACACAGACACACTCTCACAAGCCCTCCCTTCGCTTCTTTGCATGTTTATCACCACTAAATTTGTGCTGTTTATTCAGCTCATATCCAATTCTTTGCCACACTATTTATTCATCTGATCCCATTACACTGGGAGCCAGTATGCATGCAAAATCTTACATTTTCTTTTTTTTTCTTTTACAAAGATAGCAACAGCTCAGCAGACAGTCAGACTACACCTCAATCAGATGATATCGCAAGGTGATCAATAATTAACAAACAAACTCAGAACTGTTCATGTGCGTCAGACAGACATAAAGCTGGTACTCTTTCTGTGTCCACAGCTTCTTTAACTACATTATGTTGTTTGTTGTTACACACTGAGGCAGATGGAGTTAGACAGCTTGTGCAGATGGTTCTATTACTGTTGTACTGCGGTTTTAAGTGGTTTCCTCTGGTAATCAACTTGATCCTTTTGGGCAAGCAAGACCATCATCTGTGTCGAGAATCCATAGGAAAATGGTGTGATGATCCATGTACTTATGTAGAGTATTTTAAGTGCTCTACAGGAATCCAAAAGTCTTTTGACAACAAGATTGTAGCTCGTATTGATTTTTTTTTATTGCATTATTTAGAAAAACACCTACAGAGCAGATGAAAGACAGAGGTATAAAGTCTGTGTGTGGATGTCTGTGTGGTGGGATTCTCCAACACCACAATGATCAAATCAGTCACCAGTCACATATAATGTACAGAACTGGTTGAAACAAGATACTTTAAGTATCAAAAGCAAAAGTACTTCTGTAAAAAACTTCTCCCGTGACTATTAGATTGTAAATATTGATGTATCAATGCATATGCCGTATTTTACTGTTGTAACTTGGAGCTACTAGTGTCATCCAGTTCTAACCTAGTTATCATGAATACATCTGAGGGGTCGTGAGATTATTAACAGGAGAGGAAAGAAGAAAAAACTAAGTTCCGCTGCACAAATTTGTTCTTTTTTAATTTCTTATAATAGCCAGTTTGGGGGGGAGGGGATCTATGAGCAAAATGTATGGTCTCAATCGCTAGTTTCAAGTCTTCTTCAATACAGCATGATGTTCATTTAGTAAATGATGGTTCCATTTAGAGGAAAATAGACCATAAAGGGGAGTATGCTTCAGGGCGGGCTTACTGTGATTGACAGGTCACTGCTGCTACCAGAGCCGTATACAGTGTCTCTACGTCACTCCTCTGCAAACCCAAATATGGTAACTCGAGGATTCAAAACCAATGGGTGACGTCACGATGACTACGTCCGCTTCTTATATACAGTCTATGTCTCAACATGTTTTTATTGTAAAATCTTAATTTGAAAAGTACTTCATAAATATCGTTGTCAAATAATTTCAGTGGATTAAGAAATACAATATGTTTCCCCTCAAAAGTTTCGGAGCAGAAGTATAAAGTAGCATAAGATGTAAATACTCAAGTCTAAAACACAAGTTTACTTTTACTAAGAGGAACTGTCAATTTTGTGTTGATTTTGGCGGTCCATGTGGACAAAAATGGCAGTGTTTCCGAGCACCAAGTCCCTTAATAAGAAAACCTCTCCTTTTACTGCAGCAGGAGGCCTGAGCCGAAGGAGTATCTGGTGAACCTGCGCGCCTTATGCACCGCATTTAATGACTGGAAATGGTGCAATCCTAATTAAAAGTACACCTGTGGCTTCCTGTGCCCAGTGGGATAGACTCTCCATGTCCATACTCTAATTTGCCAGGGCACTGCCCAGTTTGTCTGAGTGCCAATCAACAAAGGGCTTGATTTGCACTTTGTCTTTTTAGGCCAGACACCTAACCCTCCCTCTTGAAGACACTGGTAGCGCTCAACATTGTTCGTGATATTTGATGTTGTGTTTCCTCATTTAAAAATGTGACACGAAAGACTTTGTTGGTACTGGCGAGGGAATTACTGTCTCCGGTCTTTAATGTCAAGGATTTAGAGACGTGTTGATTACTGCTCAACATTCAACATGATTATTTTATTCACTTTGCCATGAGCAGATTTTCAATTGATGATTTGGAGTCAGTAAGATTGGATATGTTGGAAGTCAGCCTTTATGGACAGATAAAGGAATAGTTTGACATCTGGGAAAATATGCGTACCTGCTTTCTTGCTTACAGTTGAATGGACACTACTCTGGTATCAATCTTCTCATATAAATATGGACAAGAATAATAATGCAAAAGCATTTATTTTACATTTCTTACACAGCATTTTGAATTAAGGGGAAATGTTTTCTGTGCCAGAAATGCAAAGCTCCACTTCAGGAAAATGTTTTGACCACAACAATGTGTTACTACTTGATTTACTTGACAACCTCACAAATTAATAAAAGAAAATGACTTCCAATCAATGCTTGAGTGTCTGACTCTGGCTCAAGCATCTCTGCTGTTTTTTTTTGTAAAAATGTACCATGTATTTCAAATACATGTCTTGAAATTCCTGAAGCTGGCTCCTAATGAATGCTTCTCACATCTTCTGAATTATGCAGAGGCATTTTCTGTACAACAAAAAAAATCAAATCAGCTTTGACTTGATAGAATGCAAATTTGTGCATTTCCCTTAGGCATTTTGGGGAAAGTAATTAAGCAAAGGACCCTTTGTTTTCAGAATGTTTTCAGAGTTTTTTTAGTTCATCGGAGGATAAGAAGACTATCTGTCAAGAGGGAAGCTTTCATGTACTATTGCGTGTGTTGACATTTTTCAATCTATTGTTCTTCCAGACATTTTCCTCAAAAGTTTTCCAGTGCAAGCGGGAGAGCTGAAGGACAAACTGTTCATTGTTAATGAGGAAGATGGAGGCCTGTCTGATGAGCACATCACCTCTCTGAGGAGGTATGACTTTGTGCCAAAAAAAACGCTGATTTGTATTCCTTCCTGATAGTGTCACAACTGAAGCTGAGAGGTGAATGACTTTTTTGCGCCCAAGTTCATGGGCGGTTGATGTGAAAAACCTCTGAAGAACTAGCAGCTTAGCAAATCATCAAGGGATGTGAGTGCATAGTAGAGTCAGGCCAATGTGAAAGGTTTGCACAGCCGTCTTTACAGTGTTCTAATACAAAAGAGCAGATGCTAGAACCTTTTACCAGAGCAGCTTACTAATAAAATTTTTATTTCTGGTTATTTGCGGAGATGGAAACTATTGACATGCCCCTGGGAATATAACACTGAAAATGGGTAAAATGCTTCCAGACTCTTACTTGCAGTTTAGTCAGTGGCTTTAGATGGTGACCTCCTGGAAGGCAAGTGATCTAATGTACTGTGTGGAGGATTTTATTTATTCTATGAAAATATAATATATATTTTAATGCGCTGTGGCGTAGGCCTGAGGAATACAATTTTGAAAGAACGACTCCCAACAGGTGCTGCAATATTAATGGCCGGTTGCTACTCCAGTGGCTCATGAAAAAGTGAATGCCTTTGGTTTGAGGTCAGAACGCACAGAAATGACAGGAGGAGGAAGTCCAATTTAAGATGAGCGGGGGTTCAAATTCAGTGCAAGTAAATGGTTGCTCCCATTAGCGTCTTGCCGTTTATCTTTGTAGAAGTTGACAAGGACCGTCAGCGCTGCTTGGCTTTTAATCACATGCCTGTTACCGGTCCACTGGAAATCAATGTAATGGCGTGAGTCCAAGGCAGAGAGGTAAAGAACATGTGATGACATGAAGAGGCAAGGGTCAGAATTGGAGAGTTTGTGGGATAGAAATAGAAAAAGTTAGCATCACACTAGTTCCCTCGACAAAAAGCCATTGGGATATTTCCATTTTTTTAATGAGTCTTGTGTTCGGCGTGATGGCGTTTAGTAGTCTCCCACTTGTGAATTTTTAAGTACCAGCCTAAAAATTCACAAGCGGGTTATTCACTGACAAAAATCTCTCAAGCTTGTTTTAACCTAATTTCAGGCATAAAACCAAAAATCTCTTTCAAAAATGCCATTGTCTTCCAGACGAAGGAACAAGATATGGAGAGATGCTAACTCATGTCCGTGTTTTAGGACTCATTCTTGCAGCACTCTAAAATTACTGATATTTAGCACATGGACTCTTTTATGTTCATCAGCCTATATTTATAGTTTTCAACATAATCAGGGGGATCAGGTGTTGATTCGTGAAAGACCTTCCATATTTCACACACTGGTTGCAGTACTATCACTAAAATAAAAGCCTAGAGGTAGATAAGATTCTATTAAATTGTACAGCCTATTGAGTGTATTCAAGCAGTAGAAATCTGATCCATAACCCCATATGAAGTAGACCAGTCGACATTTTAAACATGCACTCTTTCCTCACAGTAATACATATTAACTATGGCAGACATCACTCTGGAGTGAGAGTTTCTACTTTTGTGATTGTTGCCAAGCGTCTTACTGTTAAGTTATTTGTGTGATTATTTTTATGTTTATTCTTAACCCTGGGATGATGGTGTACTTCTTGTTTCCTGTCTGATGTGGACCCTTAAGGGGCTTTAATCAGTATTTTGATGATAACAGCGATTCAAATGACTGGGTTTAATGAAAAAGGAGTTATGCGTATAGGGCCTTTAAGTGTTTTAAAACCTAGTAAGGCATCTAACAAGAGTAGTGATACTGTTGTGTTTGCTCTTATGTTTAAGGTACATCCCCACGTTGAGTGATGTGGAAATGTATAAATCACACAAGGGACCTGTGGCAGAGCTGCATATTGTGGACCAGTACATGATGGAGGTAAAGTTTCTTGTTCCCCATATTCACTAGAACTGTGATTACCAGAATTAAGATAGCAAATTCCTCTGTTTTTGATTGGTGACATCATGAACCACGCAGAATCTGGATGATTCTTTAATTAAGAAGTGCTTGTTGAGTAGACATTCACCTGCCTCCTCATTCTCACACTGTGGGTGTCATGACAAGCTCTTATACCATTCATCTGGTCATCACCTTCCAGCATGCCTGGCAGTCATCTGAGTCATGTGTAGTTGGCTAAAGGCTGCAGGAGGGTGAACAGATGAACAGCAGGATCAACCCACAATGCCTTTCAGGAATATTTGACACCAGTCATAAGGGATTTTACATGTTAGGGACAGGGCGCCTTCGCCTATATGGAAGCTGCATGTACTTCTGGAGGCACAAGCCTTCTCTGCTAGACTGTAGTCAGCCTGAATGCCACTAAAAATACAACATAATTCTTCTTCTTTACTGCTGCCAACTAAAGTAGGTATCCAAATATTGCACTTAATAGCAACTGAAATCATTTGAAACTCCTAAGATAAGAGGTGATTTCTTTTTTTGAATTCTAATCAGTAATTCCACCCATTTCCCCCCTAAAATTCAATTATTAAAGAAAATGAAAGGGCTGTTACATTCTTTATAAATCATCACAGTTCCACAATTTTTAGCATCATTATTACTCTGAGACAAATTGTGTCCTCCATGTGATACATAGGAGAGTCAACCTCAGTCGTACTACCTCATAACACCAGCATGTGTCTGCTGGTGATTAGCATTTGTGCATTTTAGCCACGCTAGCGGTGTGGCTCCACGAACGGCAATGCTGGTCTTACAGTTGATCTGTTGGTTGACTCACCACTTTGGTCCGGACCGAAATCTCTTTAACAAATATTTGATGGATCCACATGAAATTTTCTACATACATTCATGCTCCCCAGAAGATGAATCATACTGACTTAAGTGATCCCTGACAGATTTTAGTAAAACGTCCTAACAACTGAATGGGTTGCCATGAAGTTTAGTACACAAATTCAGGTTCCTTTCAGGATGAAATACAATACCTTTGGCGATCCTGACCTTTCATCTAGTTTCATCATGAAGTCAAACTTTTCATTTGCCCAATACTTTTGTTTATGACCAAATACCAGCAAACCAGTAGCCAAATAATCAAATAATAATATTTGATTATTCAATAATTCCTCTCAGGACGTGTGCAGAGAATACAAGAGTGGCACCTGGAAACAAATGTTCTACCATTAAAGAAAACTAAAAGCATATTAAGTGTAGAAGCTCTGACCTTTTCCCCAAGATAAATCAAACCCTAATAATGCTTGGCAGAGGGAGAGTGTGTTGCGCTATACTGTGCGTGAGGTATGTTCTTAAATCATGCCCGCCTTGATTTTTGATTTTTCTGGGAACTTAAATCCTGTGCTCTGCCAAAGCGGAGAGAAGAGTATTTATTTTCAAATCTCAAATGTGGTAAACATGAGAGTTCCTAATTACGGATCACAGTTAAAGTCAGCAAAGTACCTGATTGTGTGACTACTTTAAACTCAGAATGTGTGAACACATTCTTTGCCCAGGAGCTAAGAAGTAAATTGATACCTTGCCGTGGACTCAGCGTGATCTGTTAACCTTACATTAGACATTTCAAATGCGACTGAAAATCTATCAACACAAGAAACACGTGCTTGAGTATGTGGAGAATGACATACGTATATTTTATAAATAGCCAAATGAATACATGGTCTTGATTCTGAACACTAATCCTAATACCTCTCCTTCACCATCCGTCAGACCAAGTGCCCTTTGGCTTTTGGGAGAAGGTACCTGAGCATGAGCGAGACGATCTGACAATGTGGAATGATTTATTAGAGGTTAGCGCCGACTCAAAGGTCGACTAGGCAGCCCAGCCAATCGTTTCAAGGTGTCAAGCCTTCAGTTTCTCTGTTAAATTAGCCTGTCGACAGGCCTGCAGCACTCCACTTTTGGCTGAGGTGATATCGCCAAAGAACCGGAGTGTGTGAGAACAAGCTGCAACTTTATCTCCCCGCAGCGCTGCTTTTTAGTTAATTCTGAATAATCACATGGAAATAGGTCGTGTGATGGTGCGATCGTCACACTCTCTTCTATATACACACAGCTTATTACACTCACATCTTCTCCCCCGTTACAGATGTGCAACATCCCCTGTCTGAGCACACAGCTCGACCTGCTGCTGACTCTGAGAGAGCTTCCGATCAGCATGAACGACCTGCAGCCTGTGAGTTTACACGATCGCATAAGAAGTCAAATCAAAGGTTGAATCAGAAGTTGAGCTGTTTTGTAGTCTGTTCCATTCCCACAAATTGAAAAAGGCTAAAACCAAATGTATTCCGTAATACAAATGGTAATGTTCAGATACACCGTGGCTTTAGATATAAATTAAAAGAACATCTGGGGACAAACTGACGTAAAAGCTTTATTTTCCTCCAGTTTGGATTTTATGTTTGAAGTGGTCGGTGAAGTAGTTTCTGTTCTATTTGCTGGATAGTTAAGAGTCTTGAAAACAGAAAGGCATGAGAGGCACTTTAAGACACCTCTCTTCATTTAAAGGAGAAGAAAAGATGGATCTTAATCAAATCAAGTCCCATTTTCCTGTAGGTGGTGCAAAAAATGCAAAGTTTTTTTTTTTCATCTTCATCAGAAACCCAATAAAAACCCACTTTGGGTTTTTCACTGGGGAGAGCTGTGAAAAAAATCATGAATCTAACTTCATTCAACAAACTTCTGGACCCTCTTCAAAGACAAGCACCCTTAAATAAATACAGATAAAATGTAATAAAGAAAATACACAAAGCCGCTATTTAATTATGTATTTTTCTTTTTCTTAACCCTTACACACACATCAAAATGGGAGTATCTGGACATTGACATCAGACTAATCGTTAACACTCTTACAGTGGATTGTTTATTGGCAGTGAGGACTGCAGGGTGTGAAGATATTGCAGTCAGACAAGTATACCTCCCAGCTCCGTGGCTTTTTTTTATGTGATTCTCTGAAGCCTCTGTTCCTTTCTACATCAGTGCTTCAGTAATCTCTTGTCTGCTGACTGTTTGAGAAAGAAGAGAAACAATGGATAAGAATGATGGCACCGTAATCCATTGACTCCTGCAGTAATTTCTCTTTGTCTGAAACTCAAATGCAGGCAAGATGACTCAACAAGAAAGATTAGCATCGTCATTAAGTTTCAATTTACTCTTGGCTTTTTCTTTCTGTTGTTGTTTCTCATTCTGCTGCATTGTAGCTGAGATTTATTTACAAAAAGGTCATTTTTGATCACACCTTGGTATTTGTGTGCAGGTACTCAAAAATAATATGTTGTTATCTAAGATACAATCCGGCGCGTATCACAATACAACGTGTTCAAGCATGAAGAGGTTAGGGGGCCGTCTCTGTTGCAGAATACTCTAAATCCTTCAATTGTCTAACACAGACATCTTAAGGCAGAACAATTAAGGAGGATTTACTCACCACCTGACGTACATAGAGGCTTTAGAAAGAGAAAATGGAGAAGTTGTCACCTGGCACCTGGAGGGGGGATCTTTCTCACCTAAAATGTGCTTGTTGGTGCTTCGTCTCACTGCCCAGATGTCAGGTCTTATTCTGCATTGTGGTCCTGGCTTCTTCTTTAAGCTGTTTGCTGTGCTCGGTGAGCAGCCATTTCCAAATGTAAATAGGAGAGGCAAAGACACAGAACCACAGCCAGTGATGCAGTAGACAGGGAGAGCTGTGGACAGGGAGGCAACCCCCTGAAGCTGTGATGTACAGTACTGAATGGTAAAACTAAATGTAGATTTTAACAGTTTTATCAGTCGCTCCTCCTAACTGAAGTCAAAATGAGAAACAAAAGTAAGAGTATCTTTAGCTTCTTTAATGTTAAGTATTTCAGAGATAAACTGAAAATGTGTCTGGCATATAGTCACGAGAGGGATTTAAATCAAATCCTTCAGATCTGATTGGATCACTAAAAAAAAGCAGGTAATACGGAGCGACATTGAGCTGTAGTGAGACACTGGGCTGTAGACCTGCCTCCACCAGAGTACCATTACTGTCCCATAGGAAATATCCAGGAAGCGGGGATGCGCTAACAGAGGTGGGGAAGTTGACAGTATGCCAAACCAACCAGTTGGTTTTCATCCTTTAAGTCTTTTGTTAAACTGAAAAATACTATTTGAAAACATATTCGAAAAAGCAGAAATCTTACCTTTGTGTCATGTGCGTGAGCGTGAAATTAGCTCACAAAAAAACAAAAAGGTACCAGTTTGCGAAGACGACGCAGCACTAGAAAACTTACTTGAACAAGACAAAGTCGATAGTTACAGTATGCTTCATCGGAATGTTTTCAACAGTACCTTTTGATTTTACAAGAAAAAAAGACTTCAAGGATGGAGGCTTACTGTTTAGTCTGGCAAAAGCATGTCAACTTCCCCACCTCTGATCAGTGCACATGCTGTTTCCCTGAGCTTTTCTATAGAGACCATGAAGAACCATCTCCCATTCTGGGGATGAGACAGTCCCGAATGGGGCTTGAATGGGTTTGTTAGATCGGGAGGTGGAGGACGAGGGAGAACTGAATAAATTAGAGCAGAGCCGTGCTCTTTGGGGATAAGTAAACGGAGCTTCTGCACACTGAAACACACACATCCCCTCCTAATATATATTGCTCAGCTAGCTAAGACCATGCACGGCCATGACCCACAAGCTTGGATTAGAACTTAACTTGTTCAATTCATTTTTTATTTTGTGTTTTAAAGTAACTGCTGGCTTACAACATAGTGTTTACAATTTGTTCTGTATAGTTGCACAATACTTTTTGATGTAACTTCAATACCAAATCAGAAGGCAAGGCTAAAAGCAGGTAACGTGACGTTGGGCTGTTTCATTTATGTTTTATACAAACTACAATAGTTTGCTGCGACGATACAGATGGTTCTCTGCAAAGCCAGTAGGTATAATGTAGCTGGATATCTGTTGTCTCTCCTGTGTAATTGAGACTGTATGACTTGCAGGTTTTGTTACTCTATAAAACAGGAGCATATGGTCGGAGTGTTGTTGCCGGCTGGCTTTTGGACAAAGCTGAGTCTTAGTCAAGGACTACGATTCCCATAGCATCAACTTACTTTTCCTCCAAAAAGTTGGCAAAACCTAAAATCCCACTTTCATTTCTTTTCGGTATAATTTCTATCCATATTCAACAGGAGCTGTTCAGAACTGGTTGATCAGGGGTGCGATATTCTTGAGGGATATTTGTACTTGACACAATGGCATCCCAAATAATGATCTTGCAAAAACAACACAGCTCTGATTATTCATTGTATAAGGTCAAATGAGGTGTTGCGACTGCTGGTAATCTTAATAATGTAAAATACTGAAGCCTTGAGTTATTTTTTGCCAGCACTTTACAGGCCCAATGAGTGAAAGTACCTGCATGCGGTTGGATTACAGAACAAAATGATTTTGCTCTGTGCCTCTGTGTTTGTCTTTCAGCTGATTAACCAGAAGATCAGAATGTGCACGCAGCTGAACAACTGCAGGTCATTTGTTTCGGTGCTGGAGTACCTCCTCGCCATTGGCAATTACCTCAACGAGAACGGCAGGAAGGGAAAGGCCAAGGGATTCCGCCTCTCCTCCTTAACTAAAGTAGGACTCGACCACTGTTGCCTGACCTTTGATAGAGTTGCAGCACAAGGCTAATAAGACTACTCATTGATATACATGGCAGCGCTTCTCTGCATCTTCCTCCAGTTTTCTTTTTTTCTCAGGTTCACTCGGGTCTTTGACACAGTCCTGACAATTGTGTGTTTGTGTCGCTACCTGGCATCACAGAAGAAAATGTTCTAGAACTTTTTTTTTTTTTCATTGACTAATCATGCAAATTTATGTCAGAAACCCCAAATCATGTTTTTAAAAAAAAATATGATGTAATATAACTTCTTGCTCAGTATGACCAAGTATATATGTTTTTCCCACATCATCCATTTTATCCATAGTACTACTGGCTATAGCCGTGAAGTGTATCAATAGAGAAGAAAAGGGAGTAAAGGTGTCGATAAATAAATAAGAAAATTGTCCTTAATTCTCCTTTACAATAAGTCACTACATGTTAAAAATCGTGTAGACGAACTCAGTAAAATATGCAATAATTGAGACCAGTGTATATGATGGAATATCATTACAATGTGCCAAAGGCCACCGAATTCGAATTTGGGATTTTTACAGAAAAAATTCTCGGGGGGGGGCTACTTTCCCCAAATGGCTGGCTCCTCCATTTCCTTGTGGGAAGCACTGCTCCTGCACCTATGCATGCTGCTTTTGTGCCAAAATAGTTTGATTAAACTAAATGGAGAACAGACTCGCATTGGTCTTCGCCTGGGGCCTCCAAATCATAAAATTCCCTGCTCACAGCAAGGTGTAAGCAGAGTTATTTAAAATGAAAAATCCAAAGTAAACCTTTGTTGAAGATACTAAAACACAACGCAATGGATCAACAAAATTATTTCCCTGGCCTCCAGTAAGGAAACAAGTTAGCAAGAGCCCACAATAGTGTAAATATCTCAGTTCACGTATGTCTTGCTTCCTTTATACGTCCTTGTGCTGTGTAGACAGGGAATTATAGGTTAGTACAAGCCGTGCCCTTTTTTTTTCCCCAACTCTGTGTTTTCTCCCTCTCCAGCTCAGCCAGCTCCGTGGAAAAGACAAGAAGTTCACCTTGCTCCATGCCCTTGTGGAACAGATCATGTTGCATGAGCCGAGCCTGGCCACTTTTACCCAGGAGTTGGCAGAATTTGAAACTGTCCCAGGAGGTATTTGCTAATCAAGATTTGATCAATGCTGAACAAAAGAAAAATCAGTGTGGTACTTTTCAATTGAGGTGTGGTTAGTGAAATGTGTATTTTCTGTCTGTGCCACTGCATTTTTCCCCCTCTCTTTGTTGGATAGCTTCCATCAAAGGCCTGACCGCAGAAGTGGATGGTGAGTAGATCACGTTTTACTACTGTGTCCAAAGAGAAATCTGCTGAGATCACTGTAATACTGACCCTAACGTTTTACGTGCCAAGGCAACATTTACTAGACACTTTCTGTAATTGGAGTTTCAATATACTTTGTTGAAACACTATGATCTCATTGTCAGGGACATATATGAGCTCAACCCAACATATTGTCTAGATGATGACTTACAAACAGTTTCTACGAGCACAAACACGGCACTTCACAGGATCACACAGGAGACAGCATCTGATTTAAAACAGCCATTTGCTTCAGTGGTTGAATATGATGGATGGTAACCAAGGTGTGTGTGTGTGTGTGTGTGTTGCTTCAGTCATGAAGAATGAACTGCAGAAAGTCATTCAGTATAAAAAAACGTACAAGAAGACAAATGCTGGAGTTCATCGCCCAAACTTCTCCAAAGACCTGAAGGTGAAGTAGTAAATCCTGTGTTTATTATTTATTTATGCATTCATTACAAAAAATACATTGTGTCTTCTTGAAAACAAACAGTATTGACTACATCGCTTCTTGTGCAAATGAATTGTTCACCATCTGCTTTGTCTTCTTCTCTTCGCTGTTGGCACATTGCTGCCTGTTATTGTGCATCCCTGCCACTAGTGATTTCTATCTCCTTTACATGGCTTTCTAATTTGAATCTATAGAAAGCCCTTAATAATGATTAAGCTTGAAAAGTGCGACATGAAAACTATTGTTAATATTACTACAGTAGTTGCCTACTGCAGGATCTAATTATATGGGAATGATCCTTGTGTGTGTGTGTGTAGCCTAATGTGTCACTAAAAGCCAGTCAGTAAACTACTGCTCTTGCAGCAATCTGTCATCTCGCCGTGGGTCCAGCCCGGACAGCTGACAGCGAGGCCAGAGGCATACATACATACGTACATACATAGGCTGCCTGAGAGAATGGAGAGGTCAGCCCTGCAGGCGCAGCCTCGGGCCTCGCTGTCAACTGTGCAGGCTGGACCCATGGCGAGACTAAGGTGGCGTGCAGCAGCCTAACGTGCTGGATCTTGATATGAGCGACAGACTACTACACAGACCCTTTAGGGATGCTACAACAAGCTAACTGTTGCGTTGGCTAATGCAAGTAACTTGCTGGATCAAAAGGGAAACATAAATTGTTAATACATTTCTACTATGTTGTAAAGGCCTAGATAAAATTAATTTCTTAAGTGATGTGTATTTTCTAATATGCTACTATAAGTTATCACGTTACTGCCAGTTCATCACATACAATACAGAGGTGAAGAACAGCAGGAGCCCGTCCTCCTCCGTCTTCCACCACCACTTTCTTGTGGAAATATATTTTCTTGTACACACACACACGTATGTATGTAGGCCATGCAGAGTTTGACCCATAACCACAGTAGCAGTAAAGTTTAAGCAATGATAGACTGAACGAATGAAAAAACTCTCCAGGACTTCATTGTGCTTTTCTTTATACCCTAGGCTTCAATTGAAAAATATAACACGGATCTCTCTGCACTGACGAAGTCATGTGAGGAGATGAAGAAACTCTACTCTGTCATGCTGGTAATCCATGAGTTATTATTTCAATATCTCTTTTGTACAGCCTCACAGACAGATAGTTCCCTGTTCCAGTAGTGTCTAGATGGCCCTCTTCAGTTATTTGTCATCTTACAGCATCTCCCCACCACCACATGCTGGGAGAGTACATCATTTCCCAAGGAAGGAGTCTCTGAGGATTACTGTTTTCTCCAATAGGTGTCCTTCAGGGCTTACACCGAGATATAATGCATCTGACATAGTGGTTAACTGTGGCCTGCACATCATTTATCAGCAAACGTCACTGATTTGTGGCCTTAAAATACTATATTTACTCCTTTAGGATAATTTATTCATCCTGACCCTAAAATGTGTGATGTCACATTTATGAATGGTCTAGCAAAGTATTAGCCCACAAGGACACATACCACAATGTTCTTTGGTTTATTGCGTACGTGGAGAAGTAGTTCATATTTGGAATAATCATTTTTACATTATTGATATATCATTGAAATATATTTGTAACATGTTACAATGAATTAATTCATACTTGCACTATTATTGAAGTGCTCTCTGGTTTTGACTGGACTCTCTGAGACCAAAAATGATAATATTCTTTAATGAGTTTGTCTGAGAAGTTGCCTTTAAGCATTTGTGTTGACATCAGATATCTCATATTCCCGTCACACATATGAGATTTAGTGGAGGTACCGGTCCCTGTGTTTTCTTTCATTACATCGTCTATAACGGAGGACATTTCTTTTGCTCAGCAACTTGGTTAGATTAGGTTTATAGAGCTCAAGCCTACTGTTGACATCTTAACAGGTGCTATGTCTTTTTTTTTATATAAGTACCCACCAAAACAATCAATACAAAAGTAATGCCTATCTTCTCTCCTTACCCATATCTCTATGGACAATCCATCATTATAGAGAGTCCAATTACCCTTCCCGCTGTGTTGGAGCACTAAGATAATATAGTATGAGTTGTGAGCTTTAGGACTGGTAGGGAATTGGGTTATATTAAGCCCACAATGTGATCCTTGTGTACTGCAAACTTTTTCCACAACTCACACACGAGTAAGCAAAGGGGAGGGGAGGTGAGTGAACAGAGTCAATGCTAAGCTATGACCCTACTTCTCACTCTATTTATTACCTCAGTAAACACTGTAAATATGAGTTTATGTCCTCAATCACTAGTTTCAAGTCTTCTTCAATACAACATCATGTTCATTTCGTAGATTATGGTCCAATTTAAAGTAAAATAGACCAGAAAGCGGAGTATGCTTTAGGGCGGGCTTACTGTTATTGCTGGTACCAAAGCCTTATAAGGCGTCCCTATGTCACTCCAATCAAAACTACTCTGGGTGGCAGATACCCTAACCCAAATACTTATTTGTTAGTGCTTATTTTGGTAAACCAACTACATTTGATAATCTACCAACACATTATCCCCCAAACTGGGTTGGTTTATGCATACTCATATTGTACATTGAAACCACATGAAAACACATTGCAGAGTGTGTACTAGACAATCTTCTTAGGAAGGCATCTTCTCCCAAGTAAGAGTATTTCCCAAAATGTCAAACTATTCCTTTTGTGAAAGATCCTCACTAGATAAATCCTCAATATTTCAGTAATATTCCTTATTATTCTTAACATAAATCACTCCTCCATGTATAATTGAAAATGGTCCAGTGGTTTAGTGGCTGTGGCCTTTTGAAATGGAACAATCTGACCTTTAACTGCAGTGTCCCCTTCAGGCCATGAGTTGTTTTTAATCATTAGGCAGCAGTGCCAAAATGTACCATCATTCCAGTCTGTGGACATATTTAACATTCTGAATATTTCAGATGATTTTTCTTACCATGAACAATTGCGTTTGAAATGTACTTTTAAAATTTTTAAAACATCCCTTTCATTCCATTCTGTCGTCTTTAAATACCAGAGCAGCATCAAGCATCACTCTTCCAAGTTTAGACTAAATCAGACCTGTGGCATTTAAAGATGGACACAGCCTCATTCTTAGTCCCCAGCTCCGCCTGTGTCACTCCCCTCCTCCTCTTATTTCACTGTGTGGGGACACTGTTCTAATATCGTGTGTGAAACCACCTGCATATACAATAAACCCCTTCAGGAGCGTTCGGTGAAAATGATGGAGACTGACTGGGCTTGTTCAAAGGAGCAGCAGGTTGGGGAAAAGGTGTCATATTTAGTCACTTGTCATGGGAAGAATACATGATGATGCCCTTGAATAGCAAACATGCACATTTATTAAAGAGAGAAGAAGCTCAGGGAAATGTGTGGCCCTATTTTGTACTTTTATTTTGGAGGTTCTATGTGTTTTTTCTTCGAATTCATTGTTGTTTTTTATTGCCAATGGGGGAACAAACTGTAAAGCAACTTAAAAAATGAGACCCTTCCTGACTTTCTTGGTTGCCAATAACTGCCTGTGGACTGATTTCTATATAAAAAGGTAAAATCCAAAAGGATGTAACCTTTATGTATCGTCCCAAGTGACTTGACAAATCTCAGATTTCACTTTACCGCGACTTTAAACATAATAAGAAGTAAAGAATAGCTTGAGCCTTAACTTCAACCTGCGTAGTCAACAGCATGCAATGAGCCAATTAGTACACTTAGCCACTGTGACCCCTCCTGATAAAGTTTGACTTGAGAATTACGAACACATTCTTTGCAAGCCACCCTAAACCACCTAAGGGTAAGTATTAATTCAGCAGTGCATGTCTACCTTGTTGTCTAAGTGCACTCAAGGAATGGATTGCATGCTGAGGCAGTATATGAGGTGATTATATCAAAAGACCATTGTTAGGAATCTACATGAGCCAGGCACCAGTTAACTTATGAAAGGGATTGTAGGTGCTAATTGTAAAACATTTTTTCCTAAAGATCAAAAGGTCTCAGAATGTGTAATTGCTGTCGGACGAAAGTTGTTCATTTCAAAGCGACTAATCCTGTTTTTCTCCTGTCAAGGTCAAATTCGGTGAACCGGCGGATCAAGACTCTCAAGAGCTCTTTGGGTTGATCTGTCATTTTGTCAACGAATTCAAGGAGGCCCATGCTGAAATTCTATGAGTGAAAGGCCGACTGTTCAGAGTACATATGAGAAACCACTGAGACGGCAGCGATGCTTAATAAGCCAACCGAACGGGTCTTATTCTCTTAGTCTCAGGTCAGAAACAGAAACACACAAAAGCATATGGGATACAACTTAAATGCAGTAATTAATAAATGAAGATACAGTAAAGTAAGATTATGCCTGGGTTTAAAATGTTAGGTGCTTGTATTTTTCTTCTGTGTACAGATATCTTATTTTACAATGAGCGTTGGATGTGATTCATTGTATAAACATGCAGTATGAAGAGTACAGCTCATGCACCTGGGCAATAGGATGTCGGTGGAAATCTATTTTGTGAATGTTAAACTGATCTCTGTATGTGTTCCACTATTTCATGTCAAAAGTTGGTTTGATTTGGATCAACTTCATGAGTACTGACATTTATTTTTGAGACGAATCAGTAATGCCGGATTTGCAACACACTTGGATGCTGAAAGTGTGCCGCCGATACCCACAGCGGTCTGCTGGCAGAGAAGCAAAACAAACATTCCTTCGGAGGCCAGCTGAGGCTGGTGTACTTTGGGTGTGTGATTATTTTGAAACATGCAACCGTGCTGTGGTCGGGGGACGTTTCCTATCCCCACGTTCCTGAAGAGCTCCAAGGCTGCCTCTGATTAAGGAACACATACCACTGTGCCATGACGAGAAACAACAAAAGATCTTCTTAAGGTAGAAAGATATTTTCAGCACTGGTTAGAACCAGGCGGCAACCTCAGCTTCTGACGAGTGAAGCCGATGCGGAAGTGTCTTCAAACTTGCATTCTCTCTACTGGCCAGCAGGGGGCGACTCCTCTGGTTGCAAAAAGAAGTAAGATTGTATGGAAGTCTATCAGAAAACTGACCCTACTTCAGTAAACATTGTGAAGATGAGTTTAAAGTCTTAATCGCTAGTTTCAAGTCTTCTTCAATACAGCATGTTTCTTTTTAATGCGTGTAATACTTGACTTCTTTCTTTACAGGGCTTGTACAAAGGCAATAAAGTAGTCCATGAATATGAAATATGATTTTACAGATAATTACGATCCCTCGTCGGCGTTGTGTATGTAAGTTTATGGCTTTTGCCAGTTACACCTATAGTGTAGACTCTATGGGCATATCCATGGTTTACATGTTGTCTTTTTGATCTTGTCTTTATGGTTAGAACTGATTTATGTGTTACTCGGGTTTGTATGTGACATTTTAATCAGTTGACAGCAGAAATACTATTTGTAGTTATAACTGTAAACTGTGAGCATGTAAAGAATCGCTTAGGGCAGGAAAGGTTGCACATTTTCTTGTAAAAAGGAGAATCCACTGATTATTATTAAAACCTTGCATCAGCAGAAAACGGTGATTAATTAGCTGGAAACATATTTCCATTTAAACAGAAGATTTCATCTTATTAGTTTTTAGATTTCCAATTTGCCAAAATTGCAGCTGGAAGGATCATTATTAAGGCAATTTTTTGTACCACTTTTCAAAATGAAAGAGAGATAAGTGACCTCACATTAAACATGCACACAAAATCAACTTTAAAAGTCACTTCAAATTATACGAGTTTCCATTTTCTCTGCTACTTTGGAATTAGTTTCACATTTAAAGACATAAATATAAAAGTTATGCATTTTAATCCCTTTTCACAATCTGTACTGCTACAGTATGCTGTTCTTTTATCTTTAAATACTTTTGTCATTATGAGGATTGAACCTCAGTTTGTTTGGGCTCTGCTGTACTCACAAAGTCATCACTGTTTGTTTTTTAGGTATGCGTAAAAAAGTAATACTTTTGATTTGACCGTCCTGAATGTCAGGATTGTTTTATTCTTAAAACAAAGATAACTGTTTAAATTCCGTTTTTGACTTACATTTCTCCAGGGCTGTACCTGAATCAGAATTATTTTTATGTTAATTGGATTTAGCTGTACGATACAAAGATTCAACCACTCATTCCTTTTTGTCTCATATAGACTATCCTGCATTCCAAAAATCCAGTTTTCAGTTTGTGATTTCGACCACATTAGGAGGGCCCCCTACCAGGGTAAGGGGCCCTCCTACCCTGTGGGGAGGGACGGTGGCCTTCCTACCCTGTGGGGAGGGACGGGGCCCCCTGTTCCCGGCACAACTGTCAATCAGGCAAACTGTCCTCATTGTCGGCAACCCACCTGACCTGTCTCGTTACCTATGCTTTGTGGGTGTGACTTTTCTGCCGTGTCATCACCATTCATCGATACAAACAATGTGTTTATTGATTAATTTACAAGAGCACAAAGTTCTTCATAGCTTTAACAAAAGAAACAAACAAAAACAAAACGTCTCGAGAGGCTCACCGACAGATTCTTCCAGACATCAACTTTCAGAGGGCAGCGTTACATTTCTCCCTTCAAATCTGAAAGAATTTGGATGCATTTGTGATTTAAATTCCTGGTCTTTGAGCAAGGCACTCATCACTGACATGGTTCAGTGGATAAAGTTCATTAGCCAACAGACAGGGCTTTTCACATGGAGAAAGAGTAACTAGCTAGTATTTGTGGTGGAAAAGAGGATTTGCTTTATTCTTTATGCGCTTACTATCATATTCATTAGTCCATTATTCCTTGTGATGCAGACTCTCACACAAAACAACATTCTCTCAGAGAGACAGGCAGAGAAAACATGGATAACATTTGATAATGAAGCCTATTTCTAATGTCCAATTCCCATGTTTTTTTAGTGAAGCAACTACTCTGCGGACTGAAGTCTCTCTACGCATCAGCAGGTCAGCGTTAAATACTTCTCGAGTATGAAACTGCTGTATCATCACTGCTCTTCATAAACTGTCATCATCCCTTCACATCTCTCGTCCAGGCCCCGACTCTCTCGCTCTTACTCTCCACTCAGATTTGGAGTTACATCCAATAACTACTACCACTCAAATCACATTCAGGGGTATTTTTAATTACGGCGCTAATCATTTAGCTGCGGTGCTGCATCGCCGTTAAATGCATTAAGGGGAAACACTTTCTAATCAAGACTACTTTATTAGAATCAAGAATGTATACAGTTAAGTGGCCGGCTGGACGTAAATGTGTAGTCGGCTTATGGAAAGCTGTGAACAGCTTGAGCAGTAAGTTGCTAGTGTGAAGGTGTTATTATCATTATTATCATCCCTACTGTGAGAACAAACTTTGCCAACATGTGTGCAGCAGAAAACAAAGCTTCGTATTCGTAGCATCTGTAGTATCTGAAATACCTCGCCTGCCTTGTGTCTTCTTTGTGCGGCGAAAGCTCTTATAGCTTCCTCTGCCTTTGTTTATCTCGTCATGCCATCATCGCATGCCAACTTCTCCAACCGGCCTCCTGGTTTCATGTAGTGCACCAACATGAGAGTTTTAGTCGGACGGTTACCTCTTTAACGTCTGTGAATACCAAGCAACACTGTACAAATCAATTTTAAGAGAAGCCACATAAACATACGCACATTTGCATGTGGTTTCCATGTGGGACAGCATTTCTAATTTGGGAAAGTTTGTTCAGAGTGTACCGCCTGCTTAATTGGCAGCTAAGGGAATAAAACAAATTCATATACGCACGTTGCAACAGCTTCAATGCATCTGCCTATTACGTTTAAGCTGCTGTAATCGAAATGTTTATATTGACAATGGATCCAGTGGCTACTGTAGTATCATCTCCAGACACTGAAGTTCACCGAAGCGCTACAGAGGGTTTCAGCATCTTTCAGCTTACTGTTTTGTTTTAACTGTCCACAGCTTTACTATTTTCCTTGTCACATTGATTTCAGCAAAAAAAAAAAGAAAAGCTCCGATAAACCCACCTTACACTACCTGCTCAGCAACAACAGACTACGTGAGCGACTAGTCGGTGAACATTTTGGTGCAGTTAGCAGTTAAAAACTAGAGATGCACTGATCGAAACTGGATGTCAGTCTCATATTTTTGATTTTTTTTTCACATATACACACGATAGTTGTACGTATAGCACACAGCGGCACAGACAGTAATGTCACAGCCACACACACACACACACACACACACACACACACACACACACACACCATGTCGTCAGTAAGGAAGTTCTTCAGCGTGAGTGAAGAAGTCATAAAGCTCGCAATATGCCAACTCCAAATTATTTTGAACAATGACAACAGTGAATTCAGAACGGTCGTGAAAAAAGCCTTGCTGTCAATTATTATTTGAAAAAAAAAAAGTGGAATCTGCAAAAATCTGAATCAGCAGGTCAGACTTTTAAAAAATTGGAATCAAATAAAATAGCAATAAGCATCTCTACTAAAACGTCAAATATATTTTCTCAGGAATTAGTGGAGAGTGAATACTGGACTTATATTTATCAGACCGCTAGAATCACAATTCCAAATAAACAAAAGAACTTAGTGCACTCAATAAGTTTCACAGTATGCTTAAACATGAACCATATTCATACACAATATTCTAGTATGTTGAACATACTGTATACACACCACATGAAAAATTTCAAAACTTATGAATGAAGTGTTCCTTTATTTTGACGAGGGATGGGTACCTCAACCTGGTTTATAACGGGCCCCACACTAAATTATTGAAGACCAGAGTATTGATAAGCGTAAACATTATTGGTTCTTTTATTGGTTCTTTTATAACGTTCCGGTGTTATTATTTATCACACTGCAGCATCTCCCCTGTGCGCTGTTTCAGGGCTGAGCATCTCCACATACGAGATATTACTAAGTATAAAGTCTTTGTTGTTGTAAACATTGTTGTTGTGGCTTTGGAAACAACATTTAGTTCAATTTAAAACATAAATAAATTCTAATCCTGTTTTGAATGTATTCTTTTATAAATAGTATGAAAAAAAGCTATTATTTAGTTATGAAAAAGATAAGGAGTATCGATAAAGAACAGATAAGGAGTAGTAGTATCAATAAAATCCTAATGATACTCATACCCAACTGTGACAAAGTCTGTTTCTCCTTTGATATGCTCAAGTCTCCTCAGTTGTTAGTTTGCTCAGTACATTTCAGGTCCTTAGCTCTGGGATCAGTAATTGTTCTGGGTGCATCCAATAATAAAAGAGATGTGAACTTGTGACACAGTCCTACCACACTGGTGTCATCACAATGAGGCAGTGAATGAAGAGTTTTCCTCTTCAGGAATCAGCGATGAGGAGGTTCAACGGTGGCTCACCATCTCCTTTGTCAGAATCCAAGGTCCAAGGCACTTCAAAAAGGTCTCAACAAGGTAGCCTGAATTACAAAAAGGTTATTACGTTCAGTCCCAAAGTTCCAGTTATCTATGGCCATAGTAAATAACCACATCATCAAGATACAAAATATTACTTTCACATAATAGCAATAACATTTTTTGTAACAACAGTAAATTGAAGGATTGAGTGTTAATCAGTTTACTTTGAAGCTTAATAAACTAATTCAAATACACTTGGATCAGCTGGAAAATCAACGTTACAAAATGATGATTTTACAGAATGTGATACATTGCTGTAGAGATTAAAAATTAATACCACCTTAAATATTAAATGCAACATACACATTAATGCAGCGGTAATATTAATCCAGAAACATAATAAATAACACTGACAGTGACCATTTTTCTGCATAATGACTACATTTACATATGCTTTTAAGTACATTTAACTGATAATACGTAGATACTTTTACTTAAATACAGTTTTGAAAGCAGGGTTTTCACTTGTTATAGATTTGCACAGTTTTAGTATTTTTACTTAAGTAGACGGTCTGAATATTCTTCCACTACTGTCAATGTAAAACACAAATGTAAACAAAACAAGTCTGACAGTTAAATGAATTAAATGGTGTTAAACTCTTCTCTTTTTTCTTCTTAACAGAAAAGCTTACTGCAGATAAAACCATTTTCTCAAACTGGGTTACACTTGTTTCAGAAGTTGGGACACTGGATTTGTATTTACAGGAAATTGTTTGTGTCTGCAAAGCTGATGTAACCTGAAGCTCCATGGATTAGTTTGATAATGAAATAACCTCAGGTATTAATGTCTGAAGTTCTCTCAGGGGTTCGGGTAAGTTAACAGGCAGCTCTGTAAAAATAAAAGTTAGAGAACTGTGTAATTCCAAGGAAGTGTTTCTTGGTGCATTAAGCTATATCGCCCCTCGGCTCTGGAAACGCTCTACTGCCATGGAAACATATTGACATGCACAACTCTCTCAGAGCTGGGTGATGACACAAATCTCACAAAATGGCAGCTATTCAGGTTTGGGATGACGATCTCCTCAGATCGTCATCCATGTGCAGATGGATGGATGCCCAAAACAACACTGTGTCTGATGATCGAAGGTGGATATGTACAGTTGTATTCAAGGATCTAAAAACATTCAATGCAGATTTAATCAGCTGTTTTTATTCCAATATGTTGTAATTCTCAATACATAAAAGCAGATTTTTTTTGATATTCAATTTTTTTTCATTCAAACCACCACCTGAAATCTGTTGATAAAAAGGCAACTGTACGTTCTGTACACACATGTATGAAACACTTTTCATCATATTGCACCTTGTGTGCAAACACTGGTTCAAACCCCTTTTAAAATTCAACCATTTTATCCCTTTCAACAGTGTAACCTAATGATTTGTTGTTCAGCCACACAGATCAAAAAGCTGCATTCATAAGCATGGATTTAATGAGAAAGCAAATGAATCCCACACACCAAATGTGATTTTCAGGATTCGGGCTTATTTCACTTTAATAGCACAACGCACACTTTACAAACACACTAATTACAACAATGTTTCTGAGATACACGTATATCTATCTATACTTTCAGCATTGTGCCTTAATAGCATGCCACACTGCACATCTTTATGTCACAAATAAAGCTTTGGATGTTTTGACCTCCTTTAATAAATATATCACACTATCGTTTTGAACAGATACCAGGACATTCTTTTGTGTTCATTCATGTATATGTCAACAAGTGTAACTCCTCGTATGATTTACGAATATTTATTCGTCTAATAATTTATTCTCTACAACAGCTGAGGTGATTCCATCTGCTGATGAAAGCCACACAATGCAGCTGAGAGGCTCTGGGAGGAAGAGGACCTTGAGTTGAGATTTGTATTGGAGTCTTTTATTTTCACAGGGTCATGAATTGGCCTTCAAGCTCCACATGTCTTTGTGACTTTAGGAAGCCATCTGTAAATGTGTAAATGTGTATTAACAGTTCATAAATGTTTTTAATATTTGTAACAGTTGTGTAGTCATATAAAATATGATTAAAGATATGTCATATTCTGTTATTAGGCATTCATATAGCAGTTATGGATGCTTTAGGAGGAGTTGTTGATTTAATTTTAAATTTGTATTCAATTTATTTCCAGTTTTCTGGGAAAGAATTTGGTGCGAAAAATGAGGGAAAGTAAGTTAGTTGTGTTGAGCTTAAACGCTGTCCTTGATCTTCAGAGTAATTCCCTCGGAAGAGCTGCTCAGCTACATGCATCATTAATTTTTTGTTAGAAGCTTTGATCTTCCTACATGTTGAATTGTACGCTATAGACTTGTTTAGCTGCTCTGACTAAAAATATTTACCTTAACAATGAATTCAAATGATTTGGAAGAGTCCTGATTGAGGCAGATGCTATTAATATCCAGGTGTCTTTAGCAAACGATACTATTTACACCCAGGGTGCATATAGCATGTCAGAGGTAAGCACCCAGCTGTCCATAGCCAACAATGCTATTTGTACCTGACCCTGCAATATTAGATACTGTATTTGTATGTAACCTACTGTAGGCTATGTATATTTTTTCTAAACCTAATCAAGTAGTTTTGCTGCCTGAACATAATCAAACTGCGACTGAAAACTGAAGTCAGCTAAGTGTAAAAATACCCTTCTGGAAGGACTCAATCCCCTTTCTCCTGGATGATAGTCGTATGTCTGACCCATTGAATAGATAGCTAACCTTTCTGCTATCTATTGCTAAATTAAGTTGCACAGTCAACTTGGCCAGGTGTAAATAGCAGAATAGCTGTGGTGTGACTATTCTCATCCGGGCGCAAATAGACATTTCAACTAATTAAGCACATCTGCTAAACTATTTACAACTACTAATTACATTATGTCTAGGATAACAGCATTTACAGACCCAAGAAATACTCACTTGCAAATTTCCTTATAAAACTTTACAACTATTACATTTAAATGTTTTACTCAAAGTCGCTTTAAGACGCTGCGGGTGCCAAATGAAGCAACTCTTTGCAAGTCAGTGAGGAGGTTGCTATTGATCTTTTGTTTTAGCCTAAAGTGACACAAGGACGGAGGTGATTTTGTCAAATATTATATATTATGTGATGTATTATATTCTCACTGGACACTTTGGAGGACTTGTTGATTTAATGCAGCGTGATGCTGCATGATAAAACAACCAAGACCCAATTACCAATGATGTTCACTGACTTCTGAGGAACACCACAGGATTGTGGAGCTTTACATTTTTACTGACAGATTATCAGCCCACCTGTGCAATGCGGTTATGAGTCACTGCATTACAGTAAAACCCAGCACAGTCAGAATGGACTGGGAGGTCTGGGAACTAGAAACAAGAAAAGGGCATTTTCAGTTCTATACTTCTATATTACAGTCTGGGAAATCCTGAGAAACTATATTTTATGGATTTGTTCCTGGATGAGAGAGAGTTTGAACTGTACTCAGCAGTGATAACACAGCCACTCATTTGACATAAAGCTACAAATAAGCTGGAAGCTATTTATGGGAAATTAAAGAAATGTAAGCTTTTGCCAAATTACGCAGGGACAGTTAATTACAACTTCTACTACCACATGTGCGTGCGTAATTGCTGGGTGCGCACACACGCAGCACATCATTGCGGAGAACCGCTGTTGTCAGACGCGTTACTCGGAGTGGGAGTGGGGGCTATGGACGATCTATCGAGAGATTCGCCTCTCAGACTGGAGCAGCCCTCTCTAAAACATATACTTTGTCTCATCCACGAGCTGCGAGTCTACCTGAAAAATGAGAGGCATACACAACGATCGGTGATCTCTGTGTTTCTCGGTTGTCAGCAAGATACGCTTTAGACTTAATACGGACTGTTTTTTGTTCTCGTGGATGTCTCACTTGGATATGGCACATATCTGGATCCAATAAGAGAATTGCACAGCGTCAGACGCGTCTGCGGCGGGGAGAGACCAGTGGAGGGACTCGGAAACTTGTGTGGTGCAGGAGACGGTCTCTCTTTTCGAATCGGCGCTGCCACAGCTGTCTCAGTGAGAAAGGGAGAGGGAGAGAGAGAACCATGTTGAACTCCCTCATACTGATGCTCAGCTGGACTGTGATCTCTGGGGTGGCGAGAGCTCAGAATGACACGGAGCCTATTGTCCTGGAGGGGAAATGTCTCGTGGTCTGCGACTCTAACCCGACCACGGATTGGAAGGCTTCCTCCTCTCCGCTTGGCATCTCCGTGCGCGCTGCCAACTCCAAGGTGGCTTTCTCTGCAGTCCGGAGCAACAACCACGAACCGTCGGAGATGAGCAACAAAACGAGAATAATCTACTTCGACCAGGTTAAGACGATTTTTATGGACAATAATGTAAACAAAAAGTGCTTAACTTAGAAATTCATCATATCCATGATTTCCGATCTGTCAAAACCGGGTCTAATTTAGTCCTTTGTTTTTTGTGATACATCTTCATCCTTTTAGCTCAGTGGTGACTTGTGTTGCAGAACATTAAAGTGTCATTGCAGTTAAGTGTAGCTGCACCCCGGTGGTTAGTTTGAGGATAGTTGTAGTTGGCATGTGGATTCCGTACAAGTGCACATCAAAGGCAGGTAGGTTTGAAAGTGACTGGATCATGTTTGAGAGCGGGCGTCCCGCAGAGTCTGCACGCGCATTCATCAGTTTGCCTCAAGCTACCCCATCACGAGCGCACGCGCTAGTAGCTACACGCGCGCACACCCTCACCTAATAGCCCCCACACACCCCTCTCCAAAATAAACAAATAACATGAAATGAAGCAACAAGATTAGTCACAACGGTGGGCAGAGTAACCACATCACTCAACTGATCCTCTGCCCACTCATTTGAATTACATAACATTATCTTTTGCTGTCAACACACTGCAAGTGATCTGATTGGTGTGGACCATGTCCGTGCTGTTGCTATGAAAGCAACACTTGTCAAAGGTCGTGGCTGAGGCTGCAGTGGTGTTTTTTAACAGGTGAGCTCCAAGTGTTTGAGGCTCTGAAGGTATAATCAGGAGCTCTTGCTGTCTTCATCAATCATGACCCAAAGAAGTTCATTTTTTTTGTTTTGCTATAAATACTGCACGTCTAATATGACTGTAGGGTGCTTGAAGCCTCTTAGCGACACTCATGAGGCAGCATTACATGTTGTGCTGACTGACATATTCAGAGTGGATCGTTTCAGGAAGAAAAAAAAGATTTATTTATCGACACTCCAATATTCATTAGGTTATTGTCACATGCAAATGCAGTATTGAGGAAGTGTCTGATCCTTTTCAGGCACTGTCTTCTTAGCGGTGAAAAGAGTGGAAGAAAAATCCAGATTTTGTTCCACACTGGAATTTGTTTATAAAAACTGTCATCAAGCATATTTTTTGGTTTCTTGTGTAAGAAGGAAAGTTCATTGCTGGGTCGAGCCAGAAAGGGTGATTTGAATATTTTTTTAAGCGTTGCATTCAGTTTGTGTCTGAGCAGGAACGAGCCTAGTAGCCACAACAGCATCCTGTGGTGCATTGAGATATTTAATCCTAAAGCTCCATTGAAGTAAAAGCCATTGTTAAAATGCTGGCTATATAAACACCTTTGTCATACTGTGTTTTTTTCCTTCTTCTCTCATAGGTTCTTGTGAATATAGGGAACTATTTCACATTTGAATCAGTATTTTTGTCCCCAAGAAAAGGAATCTACAGTTTTAACTTCCATGTCATTAAAGTGTACCAGAGCCAAACCATACAGGTACTATTTTTCTTTATTTAACAGAGCTGTGCAAATGATTTGGTTGTAAACAGGTTTTAGTATTGAATTGGGACAATATGTCTTCTTTAGGGACAGTATGAGAATGATTGGTGTGGGGAGGGGAGGTTGAACCATATGTTTTACGTTTAAAAAAAGAAAAGAAAGAAAGACCCTCCACAGAGTTATCACTATTTCATTCCCATAGAAAACAACTCTTCCTCAATACCTCAAAGTAACACAACAGTATTGATCTGATTCAAATTTAAAACTATCAAAGGCAAAGCATAAACAATCTAACCTCAACATTAACTTCTAATATTAATGTTTGTTGTGGAATAATGATTTTCATAATTTTTGCATTTGTTTCTTGTTGATAATTATATCTGCAAGGGCAAATTGAAGTAGTGACATCTTTTAAGTCACTTCTCACTTCTCAAAAAACAAGTGAGAAGCTTCTCCTGTGTGCCAAGGGTGTAGGAGAAGTATACGAAACACAAATAGCCCTATCTAGAGACAATGTTTGGTTTGTCCGTTCTGGGCTACCGTAGCAACATGGCAGCCGGCTATGTGGAAGAGGACCCGCTCTGTATATAGATATAAGATGTTACGTATAAGATGTAAACTATACAAAAACACATCTTCAAAACTATTCCTTTTCCTTTCCCATTGCTAATTGTTATTTCTGTTGTCCAGGTGAACTTGATGTTGAATGGGAAACCAGTCATCTCTGCCTTTGCGGGTGACAAAGATGTAACTCGTGAGGCGGCCACCAATGGAGTTCTGCTCTATCTAGAAAAAGAGGACAAAGTCTACTTAAAGCTGGAGAAGGGAAACCTCGTTGGTGGATGGCAATACTCAACATTTTCTGGCTTTCTTGTGTTCCCTTTGTAAAAAGAAAAGAAAATAATGTGTCGTCACTATATAATCAAAACATTGCTGCTGCGTCCGTTGGATCTTGCCAAGTTGTTGAGAAAGTGGATCCGAACAGAGAGAGGAAATATGACTTTGGAAATCATTCGCATTCACTGGATGTGCTGAATCCCCCGTCAAGATGAAAGAGACTTGAAATGTTCCCTATCGCTACTGTATGTTCCTGTCACTCAAGCAGCCCCAGAGAGAAAACGCTACAACATCCCAAAAGTACTTTTTAAACTTTGACTTTACTGAATATATTTAGCATACAGATTTTTATCATGTGCAACTGTTGCATTCGAGTATATCCGCCTTTTGGTTGTAAACTGTAAATGCTTGTGTGACTTGTGATCACCAAAGTATTCACATTGTAAGTGTTAGGGGGCGTCTTCTCTGGAGCTAATTGTTCCCGGTAAAGAGGTGGTCAAATGAGTCAAAGAAAGACGGTCAATGCTTATTGAAAAGTGTGTTTAGTGAAAGGCATCGGTGGTTTGTTGAGTAAGCTTGCTGGCCACAGGGGCCTCCTGACCCCTTTGGCCCTGGGGCTTCATCTGCAATGTCACTGAAACACTCCAAACTACTTCAAATGACTGTAGAAAGTTGAAAATGAACCACAAAATGACCACAGACACACACAAAACAACTACAAATAGATGCAAAACAACCACAAGGCTACACAAAAATGACTACAAAAAGATGCAAAAACAACTACGCAAACAAGCACAGTGACCATAAAAAGACACCAAACCACCACAAATTGATGCTACAAAGAGACACAAAACGACTACAAACAACTGACCGCTGTGGTCTGCTCTCTCAGTATGGGGGTCTTACTCATAGGTCGGAGGGATCAGGAACCTTTTACATGTCGGTGCCCGGGGGCCCATTGTGTTATAATCCATCCATGATCAGAGTTCAGATGTGACCATATTTCTGATCATGTAGGCTACTGGTATTTATGCGTTGCTTTTGACTCATTATAGTGGTCAGTTTACTTTGCCTGTCAACACTGTCTTTCAGCAATAACATTGATAAACCTCCAATTTATTTTGCCAAATACATTTTGGGGCAAAAGTAATTCTTGCCTGAATTATAATAAGTGGCAAAATTACATTCAGTGACTCATTTTTTTGTAGTGGACTGTGACTCTGAAGACTTGGGTTAGCATCCCGAGTCTCACGTGTGGCTGGGCTCAGGCGACAGAAGCACTTGGCTAAAGTGGTTGTAATGAATATTTTCATATTAACAATTGGTCACATGACTACTTGTTTGTGAACTGTCTTGCTTGTGGTGATAAATTATAACCGGACTCTGCAGTTCCCTTTAGATCGATGGAGCATTATAATTGTTTAAGCTCATTTGCTCATTACATATTTTGGTTAACTCTCTGCGCTCTCATCAACGTTAGTCTCGGCTGCAGCAGGCATCTATTTTCAGCATAAAAGCTTAAACTGCAGAGAGACAATTTTGAACATAGTGGAGCATTTTAGCAGCTATAGAGGCAGATCTTTCCAGGAGTTAGTGGAGGCCCAAACAGAACTAAAAGGAGGGTAACAGAAAACAAGATATTTGACTTAAATGAACCAGGGGGAAACAAACATGACTCCAAATAAATGCTGATGTTGCTTAGAATCTGCTTGATGTGTAAATGGGAAACTGCTTCCTAACAAAGTAAGCCATACCAACTTAAAATGTGATAATACGTCATTGTTTACGGTTTGTTTTTTCTGCCCCCAAGTTATACCGTTATACCACAATCCTGACCTTATACCCTGACATTAAGCAAGTACTGTGAGTGCCTAATCGTAACCATACAAAGTGTTGATAATGCTTTAGTTGCTGCAGTACAAGTGGATATTGTCAGGAAAATACATTGTTATTATTTCTCATTATGTTGATAGAAAACACAATTCAGGCCGCATTACGTGTCTCCCTAATTGTATTGCTGTTGAAAATGAGTAGTTTATAAATGTAATTTCTACCTGTGTATTTACAATAGACCTTGCACAAGTCAGCTTGTAGTTTATGGACCTCAGTAAGGTTTAATCGACATCTGTTGACGTTAACTAGTTAACATGCAGATTATAAACAGATTACTGCCACTGTCGGTGAGCATAAACAGCTTCCACTGGGTAGCCTGGGATATCTAATGAATTAATAAACTCTTTAATTAATGCTCTTGAGCTCAGTGTGCGCTTACAATATGTGATGGCTCTCACCTTCATGTCTACAGCAGAGGTAGCCTACTGTCTGCCTTACTGCAATGTGTGCTGCTGGTGCAGTGTCTGCTGCTGAATTGTTAAAACCAACCTAACAGTTTGCTGGGGCTTTTCTGGAGAGCTTATTGAAATCATTATTTCACGCCGAAACATTCATCTGCACACTCATCCGATTGAACCATACCGGCGCTCGCTTCGGTTGATCAAATTTATGTTGCTACGTCTTGTTTGCTAAAAGATTTTTGTCAGTGACTGATGAGTTTGTGTGACCGGAGAACGCTTTGATGGAAAGGATTCTTTAGTTTTCTGGTGTGAATAAAGAGGCAAAGGTATGAATGACAGCTGTGTGCAGTTCAGTTGTGTCACACTTCATACCAATCATCGTTCAAGGAAACAGGGCTGAAAAATGTACACTCAATACTCAATCATATAGTATTAACAGTGCAAACATAATCACTGACAGGTATTTGAGAGCACAAGAATGGTTGCATTAATCGAATGAACTTGCTATTAATCATGACACTATATTTATTTTGTGAAACTGAAACAATCTATATTTTCTGGATCAACATCACTTTTCATTTGTGTCACATTGTTTGGCTCGTAGTGGCTGTGGAAGCTGGACTGTGCCTCTAAAAGGAAAATAGCGTCGGTAGGTAATAACGTTATTACTTATTAACTTTGTGTTTAATTGATGCAAATGTAAATATATGGGTTCAAAGGTTGTAACATGTTCATTAAATGTTCCAATTAATGTATTACAGAATTTTGGTGATAAATGATGAATAAAAATTATGATTTCTATAAAGTTATTTTCAGTTTTTATTGGCCAGTCATCCTATACGCTTTGGGAAGTTTGCTAATCAGAGCTCTTGTCGCTGTTATTTGTTATGGACCACCATTCATTTTTAGGGGAGCGCCAAGTAGCTGGATTTCGAGACAAAACAAATGATTAAAACAGAAACCACATTATACAAGTAAAACAACAAAAGCAAACATTTTGTGAATTGCCTTTTAGTTGAATGAACGTGTTCATCATTTAGAAACGTAAAAATAGTTATTTATTTGCGTAATTTAAATTAAAATGAATAGGCAATATAGCACACTCCAGCCTCCATACAGGAGATGCCAGTATGTGATATATAAACGTGATAATAACATACATTTGAAGGTTGCAAAAAGTTCAAAATGTATTCGGACTAAGTGCAGACTAATTCTCTGTGATTTATTTTACATCCTAATGTTCAGCGATCTACAGTTTGTTGAATGTATACACGCAATTTAATTAGTCAGCAAACGATAACGACTTCTGCAATTTGAATAAGTGTCTGTGATTGAGAACTCGTATTTTCCAGCAGCATCAAAGAGTCGAAGCAAAGCCAGTTGTCACTTCATATTGCTGCAGTAATTGAAACCGTTTTTTTTCTTTTTTGTTGGTTTCTTCTTCTTTGTTTTATGTTTGTATAATGTTTCAGAGTTGAAATGAAAAATTAATTTCATTCACATGTGGAAGGTAAGAGAAACTGTAAAAATCATTTGAGATGGGTGCAGCTACATTTTAACAAACCATCTTCCTGCTTCAGTTTCATTTCCAACAGGATGATTGAGAAAATAACACTGTCTTAAAAGAAGCTGGTAGCATTTGCACCTGTCACTTTTCAGATATTTCTATAAAATTTCTTCTCTCATTGTGTTAAAAATTCATAGTTTTTCTCCTACTTTCTACTTTTCATCATCTGTGCATCAATACCCAAATATTATTTAATCTTGTCTGTTATTGTGTCTGCACCCAACATATCAAAATTATTTTTTCATTTTTTTTAAATTTCTGTCTTCATCCAAATCTACCAGTGATGAGTAGCGGTGGGGCTCTGAGATATGTCCTAAATTATTGCTTTGAATTGTATTTACTGTGAGTAAGCTCAGCCTTTATGGAAATAGAAACATACAGTGCGCTTATGTCCACACACCAGAGATGTCTGATCTCGTACAAAGGCCTTAAATATGAGCCTAAAGTTGTTTATGAGTTGATTTTCCCTCGTTGTCTTGGGAGAGAAACGTCATGTATTTCGAAATCACCGAATGGTGTAAACATAAAGTGACCATTAAATGTTTACAGTTGTATGTTGTGATTCCCAAATTATGTGAACATTTCCAAAATGCATATTTTGGGCATCGTTTTACACACAAAATAGCTCAAAAACATGCAAATTCCACTCAAATTAGATGGAAAGTTCAGAGAAAACGGCTCAACAGATAATGTATAACACAGTTAACTGATGGTTATCCATGAAATTGTATCACCACTATAAAGAATAAGCTTTTGGTCTTTAAAATTGTGGGTCATGTGGGTGCAGGATAAATTGTAGTGCTACACTTCCATGAATAGCAAGCGTGTCAAACATTTTGAATTAAAAAAGACAAGCAATCCGTGTCATTGGTAATTGTTACACGGACGAAAATATGCTTCTAATGGCCTTTTTCTAAAAATGCCGTATGTCTTTAGAATTAAAGTGATGGTAAATGTGTTAAATCCTGTTCTCTGATGTTTGTGATGTACCGCGAAAAAGCAATAATACCCTCCGTTAATGAATCTGATCCCAAAATCATTTGCAGGGAGATTATCTGCTGCTGCAGCTTGATTTGTTCCCGGGTGTGTTCATGCTGACAGATTGACTGTTTACGAGATAAGAAAGATCCAGCAAGAAAGTCATTTTAAGTAAACTGCACATCTCTCGACTTTACATGAATTTCAAATCGACAGCAAACAGAAGGTCATCCTGAGAACTTTATACTCTGTGATTTTATGGTCGTGTAGCTGTTGGGAAAAAAAAACCACATTGTTGCAGAAAAGAGGATTTTAGTGACACAAGTTCCTGTCCTCAAAGTTATATGGCGGCAGGTGTGCTGTGTTGAATTTCAAACATAAATCTGACCTTTCTAGTGGCATTTCTAGAGGACAATATTGAGGTGTGATTGAGTATACTGTCCTTAAACAGTGTAGCACTTTACCCAGATAGTTTGCAGCACTTGGTTTGAGATATGCGGAGCACCGTTCACTTTGATTGCATCTGGGGGGACACATAACCCGTGAACTGAAGTATAACTCAGCATTAATCCAAGTAAAGCAAAACATGAGCCTTCTCTAAACAGAAAAACACATTTATTCCATGGTTGGTAAAAGGTGTCCACAATAGGACAAAAACCCCTCCAAAAAAAACACGTGCAAAAGGATGTGCTGTATTATTTGGTGGTTTTGCACAGTGGGTACTGCATGCTGTATTAGTACTGTTCAGCTCTACTCACACACTTTACAAAACATCGACAAAGTCATGCATAGCTAAAACCTTCATGTAGCTGCAAGACAATCTTATTTTATTTAAAGAGCACTAAAGTAAAAATGCAGACATTGCAAAGGACGTTTTGGGCTTTATATTGAAACAGATGTTTTCCAAAACCAAAAACATTACAACAAAGGTGTAAGGAATAGATTGAGCAGTGGGTTTATCTAACATCAGCTTCACACATTAGCATTGCAGACTACTGACTGTATCTTGCTAATTGGGCTGGAAAAAAATGACTTCGTAATATTGTTTTTTTCTGAGATATATTTAGAAATAAAAACAGGAATATTCACTCTTACATTTTGTAGGCTATATGTTAAATTTAAAAGCATCGATCTGCTGCACAAATAGCAAACGTGATTTTTTTTTCCATTGGATTTTGGATTACTGCAGAAAATAAACTCAAGTTAATGATAGCGCCACGCTCCCTCTAGGAAGATAATCTTTACAAACGAACACCACTTTATCATTTTGGAAGCGTGAATGCAATTGGCCGAGGTAAAAAGCTAATTTAGTAAATTATGATCTCATTTACCGATGGGTGACGTAACGTTATGTCCACTTTCTATATTCAGTCTATGCTCACAAATATCCCCAACTCGCTTTCACCAATTAGCGTACGATTGGCACAACAGTTTTTACAATATTTTGCGCACAATTCACCTTTCTCGCTGTTTGCGTTTCATTTGTACGCCATGTAGTCTGTACTGACTGCAATGTAAACGCATTTGTGTGAATATGCTGCGCTCCGAACAAGTGACGCAATATAAAATGAGAGAGAGAGAGCACTTATTGGGGGAGAGTCCGGAGGTGGATGGGTCAAACAAAGACAGGACTAGCAACCAGCAGACCGTTGTTCAAGACCATTGTGAGCCATCACTGTAGTTCTGCTGCCAAACTGTTTCACAGTAACGTCAGGTAATTTAATGTGAACGTGAAAAGCGGCATCAAATGACACAAAAGTGGCTTAAAAATTACACTTGAAAAGCCTTAAATGCGTAATAATGACATGGAAAAAGCCTTGGATGCGAGATCATGACGCGGACATGATGTGTTATTTATACTTCTTCCCATGAGATCGGGTTGCTGTCCCTCATCCCTGTTCCATTTTGATAAGACATTGTATGACTTTACAGTGTTTCAGACATGAGCATTTGAATTGTTCATCTTTACACAGCGGCGGTTGCTTTCTTACATCTTCAAGCACAACGACGGAATCCAACACGGACAATGCAGACTATTCTTTAAAAAGTATAAACTCCTCATTATCTTCTCCTCTGTATGTCTGCAGATGTCAGTCAGTACTTGAAAAAGTAAACAACTCTGCTGATAAGACAGCTATGTGCTTCAGGTAGCAAAAGATGAGGAGGAGAGTTACACGACCCGTGAGTAGGATATGATTCTATCCATTCACTCTGACTCTTTTATTCTTAGCCCCATGGAGGGAAAATTGAAACAATAGCAACATTTCTTTATGATACGGGACAATAGTAACAATACTTGTACTGTTTAAACAAGAGCTTTTCAATGAACACTACATATGAAGCTTACAATGCTCTGTTTTTGTCACGGTTCCACCCCCGTGAGCCCTGTGTGAGTGTGTGTTTCATTTACGAATGCTGTGTGCCTGTTTTGTTTTCTCTCTCTCTCTCTGTGACAGCTTTCCATGGGAGGAGTTGCACACCTGTGTGCAATGACATCAGTGGATTCCTGTTGAGAGCACACCTGTGGAGGATCTTCAATAGTAGTTTATATAGGTTGTGCGTCTTAATTCATTATCTGAGTAGTATGTAGTATGTATATATACACATATATATATATATATATATATATATATATATATATATATATATATATGCTGAATTCTTTGTGTTAGACCATCAGCCCTAGTTTAGAGTTTTGTTTAATTTCTGCCTCTCTATTGTTTGAGTTTTCTGCAACTTCTGTTGCTTGAGTCCTCAGTTTCTTTTGTACTGTATTTGAGAATTCCGTAGTAAAGATTTTCCACTTCCCATCTTCTGTGTCTTTGAGTCTGCATCCGGGTCCCTCCCCCTAACTTGTGTTTTTGTTGACACAGTGTAAAAAAAAAGAAAAAGGCTTTGAGGCTGTTTGTGGGTTATTTTGTCTTGCCGCTGGCACACGTCTAGAGAAGCATTTTGATCATAACATACAAGAATTGACCAGTTTTCAAATAAATAAGCGTAGCAATTTTTGTCTGTGATAAGCGTTCAGCTGCCGGCCGCTATCCTACCAGCGTTCATTGTTAGAGAAGGTGCCAGGCCAAATGTGAGATTTTGAAACCGATTTCCTCTTTATTGGCGTAAGGACACGCCGCCACGCAGCTGCTGTTATGGCATCAACTTGTAGGATACCTTCCTGGAGTAAAGATGCTTAATTACACAACAAGCGACAAACACAACACAAAAGAATGGGACAATAGTGGATAATAGCTGTTTTGACTTCACTACCCCCTGTCCTGACCTTTAATTAATTAGATTCTTTATTTGCAGATTCATTTCAACTGTGGAGATAACAATGCACTTAAAGGACATATAAATAAATAAAATAAGACGTATATGATTATTTTTAAATGAACAGCTTGTCCTCTTAATTAATGGTAT